CCAAGGCAACAGCTTTGGAGAAATGGCCTACCGGGCTAGTCAGCCGTTAACACCAGACAACCGATTTTTGCGCACCATATTACACATAATTCTGTTTTTACACGGTACATTGGTTCCAGAAAAAGTCGTGTCAAGAAAAAAACCGTGTTAAAAAATACATTGATTATATGTTCTTTTGAATTCTGCCTAATGGAATAAAGTCGTGTAGCCATATATACAATTTTTAATTTTCAAACCGTGTTAAGTCAAAACCGTGTAAAAGACAGTGTAAAAATAGAATTAGGTGTATTTTTTAATTACTCCCCAAGTTTTCGCCCGCTATTGTCAAAATTTGGAAAACTGATCATTCACTGAAATAATGTACGGAAATACTTGATATCTACTATAATTCTGCAGAAAATTTCTTATGACCTGAACGCTTTATTCTAAAAAAAATTTATAGGGACACATAAAAATAATTAAGCCAATTTTATTTAAATAATGAAATGAATGAGAAATTCAATTATTTTATAATATAATTTATACAATTTAGATACCTCTTCGACATGATTTTTATTTAATGATTCGTAATTAAAGTCTAAAGACTCTTCTGCAAAATAAATTTTAAGTATTTGCGGTCGTCTTCATTAATATTTTAGTTAAATCTTATGTTGTCATTTTTTTTTTTCAAAAATTAATTGCTTTCTCATAATATAGCTAAAGCATTTTTAAAATTATTCATTTATTTATTTATTTATCTCAACAGACATATGACTGTCGACATTGGAGAAAAATATATAAAAATTCAATAGAATAACATATCGGCCAATGACTTGAATTAAAGATAATTTATTTATGTCAACAAACATATGACTGTCGACATAGAAGGAAAATATATATAAAAATTATAAAAAGCATCTTATAAGCTAGAAAATCCAAAGAAGAAGAAATCTAATGAAATTACAATAATAATTAACGCCTCCGACCCGATAGGGGAATATTATTAGCCTTTCGACTAGCAAAATTTTCCATAAACTTGTATCTTTTGGATCATCTCTAAAATTCCGCAATTGTTGAAGCCAATTTCGACTTGTAACATTGTAGAAATGATTGATTAAAATCGCTACAAAACAGTTTTAAGCCACTTACACAAAAATTTTATATATATTTCCTATGTCGACAGTCAATGTTTGTTGACACAAATAAATAAACAAAATTTTTATTATATATATATATATTTTATATATTTTATATTTATATATTTTTATTTATAGTTGGTAGATATATGTACTAGGCAACTATAACATTTAGACATATATTCACAATCGTAGATAAGAGTCTAATGATCATATTTTATCTTATTGCAATAAAACATAATTTACATTATTATCTGTTGATTATTTATAAAAAAAAGTTTTAAAACTATACTCATCAAAATGGCATCATATCCTTAAGGACCAGTAGGACATAACTTACCTTTTAACTAAATTTTAAATAGTGCTCAAGAAAATGGTTTTCCAACCATATGTGTTTTTCAGTTGGTCCTCTATTTAATACAGGGTGCACCATCTTTTATTTCGGTATGTAAATATTGAATAACTTTGTCATTAGTGAACCGATTGACTTGAGTAGACCAGTGTTGAAAACCTCAGTTCAAGAAATTGTGCAGAACCAAATTAAATAAAAATATCTCATACTTGAAAATCGATTGTTTATTTTCAAAGATATTCAATGTTTACATACCGACATAAAAGATGGCGCACCCTGTATATATAATTAATATAGTATAGTATATATATGTATATTCTTGTGCTGTTTCTCTTTTTGTACACGCTTGATAATTACAACTAAGCTATTCTTCAGGAAGTATATTCCCATAATTGGTTTAGTCATGAGTTCTACATCTACTATATACTTGTATGGCACTTTTGTTTTTGTCTAATGTCTGGTTGGCTTTCAAATTTAATTTGTGCCTAGCTAATTAATATTGCTTATTAATTTGGTCTGCATAATTAAATAATATTGCTTAATAAAGTCATGCAATTGGTTAACAATTAAAAAAAGGCGACATTCCATGCGTCGATATAGGGGCAGTTTTTGTTGGCGAGTGTAATAAATGCAGGTAGCTGTTGCAGCGGGCTCGGCCATGCCTGCCAGCGCGCCCATTATTTAAATTTTTGCAAAATTAACAATTAAAATGTCTAATGGTAAAATGCGTTGGTAAGTTCGCGAGCTTCGCTATCATAAAACTAACAATTGCCCAGACAGATGAGTAGGTTGCTCCTCGGCTGGCTGGCTGGCTGGCTGGCTGGCTGGCTGGCTGGTCAGTCGCTGCTGCTTCTTGGAACTGCAGCAGCGCATCAGCAACAGCAACAACAACAACAACATCGGCAACAACAACAACAGCAGCAGCGTAACTGCGGCGGCTTGTCGCCCGTCTCTGATGTGCGCAATTATTTGCTATACTTGCTGCTAATCACGCGCGTCAGTTTTATCGCAACGCGACGATGACGATGGCGTCGGCTCGTTGGACGACCTTTGCAGCAGCCACACAGCTGCCTGTTGTTGCCACCGACTGACTGACTGACTGACTGACTGACGACTGGTCGGTGGAGGAAGTGGAAATTGTTTGCGGATTAGTGCAGTTTATGGCACGGCTTGTGAATGTCTGTAAATGCCACTACTTTTCGGGTGTTAACCGTGCAGTTCGTAGTTTTGCCATCAATATCGCTTTATAATATGCTTCATAAATGTGGAAAAACATAATAAGCATAGCATGACTAATGTTTTTGAAGAGAAAATCCGCGCAAATACTTGTATATTCAACTCGTTTTCCAGATCAATGGCATCGAGATTAAGCTAAAAGGGAAAGTCGTGTGGGGAATGTAGTTATATACAGAAAGGGAGCAGCTCTAATATGGAAGTAATAGTAGTATCTAGATATAGTAATACCACCAAACTTAGATACTATTCTATATATACCTAATTCTGTTTTTACACTTCCTTTTTTACACGATTTTGATTTAACACGGTTTGAAAATTACATATTTTATATATTTTATATATATTCTTAGTTACACGTCTCCATTTAGCACGATTCATTTTGCTTATGATAGTTTAAATTAGTTTAAATTGTTATATTAAGTTTTATAATATAATCGACTGTATTATTGTTGATTTTCTGAATAAAAATAAAAAAAAATAAAATAAATGATTAATGTCTTTTTTTACACGGTTTGTTTTTACATGACTTTTTTAGGAACCAAACTACCGTGTTGAAACAGAATTAGGTTTATTCTGTAAGCATTTTGTTTTATTTTATTTGGCCTTTTAGTATAAGTTTCAACTATTTAGTGCTTATATAATTGCTTCTAAAATACGTGATTTTTTCGGCAAAGCTTTCCTTTTATTTTCGTCAATACTTTCTGTAGCCTACTTTTATTATGATAGTGTAAGAAGAGCGCTGGGAAAGGTAGAAGGAAACCATCCCCAAATGACGAGCGAGCCAGGAGCCACCACTCCCTCTCATCCTACTCTCCTAGTTATCTATGACAGAAAGGAACAATAAACGGTTCCAAGAACTTCAGCATCCCTATTAATGCGATTTGTGGCTGCAGGTCAGCACAGCAGCAAGCAAAGAATCATTATTTCCTTTAATTGTTATTTGCTTTTAATTAAAACCGCCGTATTATTTAAATTATTTATTTAAATAAAGATTGTTTTTAACGTTTAACCTCAGCATAAGAATTTTCTTTTATATATGTAGTAATGTTTTTCTTGAAACTAGTGTGAAAAGTCGAATTAGAATTAAAATTTAAATAAAGCTTGTTTTTAACCTTTCACCTCAGCATAAGTGTTCTTTTAAAATGTTTTTCTTGAAACTAGTGTGAAAAGTCAAATAACAATTTAAATATATTCCTTTCAGTTGTTGATACTTTTAAGACCAACTTAACTACAAGTATTCTAATAAATTTTCTTTGTACTGGTAAGCACATTTAAATAATTTAAATATTTTTCAATATTTTTATATTTTATATTTTTTATATTTTCCCAATTCTCTTTTATGGGCCTAGAAGACTTTATTGCTTGTCTTTCAGCTTCCACATTGCTTTCTTTACAACTGAACTGTAAGTTGCTTTACTGATTTCTGCTTTTGTTGCTATATAAGTGGAATAAAAGGAAATCAGTAATATATGCAATGAATATAAATTTATCATTATTTTTTGAAAAAATAATAATTGTTGCAGCTCTATTTTGCCATTAATTACAAAATTATTGCTAATGTTTCTTTATTTATTTCATTTATTTTCATTGTTTACATTTGTAATAAGTTTTCAAAAAGGACCTTCTCTAAGACAAGGTATATTATTCCTTGTCTAGTTCGCCAAATAAAGTTTAAAGTGAGATTAACGAATAATTTTTAGCTCTCCAAATAATGATTTAACTGAGAGAGAGAGAGATTTTTATTTAATTATGCGTTTGAAAGCAAGGTTAAGTCTTTGCTAACTCTTCTAACTTGAATTGAGATTCTTAATTTGTTTAAAGTAAGTAAAATTATTTATAAGGAAAAATGTGCACTTTATTTAATATAATTGATTAAATTCTAGATTTATAATTAATATAATTTTAGCAACAATTTTAAGAGGAAGGCCTAGTCAGTCAGCTCTGAAGAGCCTCAAAATGAGTTTCTTGTCAACAGCAAACAACTTCCGCTTGTGGGCCAAGTAAGCCAGCTGTGGAGTGTGGAATGTCACCTAAAATACTATCCTGTTTTGGCAGTGTTAGCCAATGTTCAGCCTTGGCCAAAATCGACCTGCAACAATTTGTAAATACAATGTTATTCAAATGCCGTTGGAATTTCCAAGGCACCGTATCATAAATGCTTTGTATTTTGAATATTCGAGCGGTTTCTCTGGAGTTCGGGATCAAATGGAAGCCGCTACCTGATCGCGGGCTTCTTCTTCTATAAAACGGCGCAGCCGTACTTCGCGGCCGTACAGTCGATTTGTGAGAGCTGGAAAATGCTGATCGTACGCTACCTAATCGCCTTGGTCTTCTCCATATTTATGATGGCCACATCGCTGCGGATCGAGGCGCGCTATAAACGACAATCTGGCTATAAGATATCCACACCCAATCGCCTAGTGTTGCAAATGGAAGAACAACGGCCAGGAGTGGCAGGAAGTCGGGACATCAGGGCGTTGGACCGCAGACGTCTGGTAATCTGAACGGCTAATGTGATAGAAAGAAGTGCACTTGGAACTTGAACTTTTTTGAACAATTGCGCGCTTTTATTTTACGTATATGCAACTTTATTATTGATATATTACATAAATCGTTGAAGTGTCTCAACTAATGTGTGCATTAGGCATAAATATTCGTACAATAATGTGTAACATACTACAGACATCGTTTCGGTTTAATACTCAGCTGAAACTTTAAATTTACAAAAGGAAATGTAATTTCGTAAATACATCGATATATAGTATTTGTATAAATATATAATATTTTTAAAACATGTCATGTACTTGTATAATTCTGATATCATTTTACCACACCATATGCAAGCCTAAGCAATATTTGTTAAAATCGAATAAACATAATAATAAATGTTGAATGAAAATACAAACAAGACTTAGTTTTGCCAAATCATAAACTTTATTTTTGTGTGCAAATAGTTTGTTGTTTGCTGAATCAAGAATTGTTGAAAAAACATACATATAGTATACGGGTAGGTTGGTTGTTTTTTGTTTTTTTTTTTGTTTTTTGTTTTTTTTGTAACTACAATGAAGCATTTTTTCGTTTGTTAATCATAATGTAGACACTTAGTTGTTGTAATAAATATAACATATTTAGTTACTTCATAAATATATGTATATGTATATAGTAGTATGTATAGGTAGAGTTGCTTGAGTCTTAGCTTTAGTTAATTGCACTAAATATTTGCGTTAGTTATATGCTAAATTTTCATTTTGATTTTCGTAATGTTTGAAATGTTAATTTATCCAGGGCTGTGGATGTTTTTTATTTTGTTAATTTGTTTGCTTTTTTTTTGTTTTCTTTGCAACTTTCGGTTTCTAATTTACTTTCTAAAGCACGAAATGGGATTGAAGTAGCACTGTCGGTATCTCACTTGACGTTTGCTCTCGGGCAGGCGATATAGTTCGTTCATGTTGCCGTAGGAGGGGGAGCGCAAGTATCCATTGTAGCTGCAAGCAGATGAATTTGAGGAAATCACATTATTTTATTGTATATTGTATAGCATTATATTTATAACTCACCTGGGCCTGTACTGCGCATACAGCATCTGCAAACGATCCAAGGGGATGTTGGGATATATGGCCTGTGCGGGCATTTCATAGCCATAGGCGCTGCGCACATCATCGCTGTCCTGCGTCTCCAAGGCATCCGATTCCTGCAATTTTGTTGCAAACAAAGTTTAATCAACAGTTCAAGAACAGAACCTGTCGATGTGGGAGCATAACTTACAGGTCCGGTTTCGCCGGAAGGACGCGCCTCGCCCACAGTCACCAAAATGGTCAGCAACAGAGCATAACACAACAGTATTTGCACGAATTTCAACATCTCGATGTGTTTAAATCTTAAAGTATAAGAATTAAATGCAAGTTAATAAATTATTTAAATTTTTAGCTATTTTCAAACGATTTAAAAATAACACTTGAGAGCAACGCAAAACACTTCCGATTCATAATCTGTTTATCAAGAACATACAAGTATTCTGTGAAGTAACAATTAGCGTTCTTTAAGGATTAAAAAATATTCCGTCTGGCTACTAGTTGATGCACTTAAATGGGCTTCTTACAACTAAATTATTTTCTAAGTAACGAAATACCCCTTTTCTGTCATTCTTTCTTTTTAACTGCTTAGTAACTTCATTTGATTTGAAGGGGAAGAGAATTACAATTTAAATTACTTAAAGCATACTTTTTGGGTTTAATTATCGCTTTCGATGTCAGTGCATCCCTAAAACTTTAAAAAGTATAAATAAAATTTAAGTGCAATAAAATAAATATTAAATATACTATTCTTTCATTTTAATTGGATTGATGCGGTTCATAAACATGGAAGAATAATATTCATCTAAAAACTATTTTTATTTTCAAAAAGAATCGATTATCTTTAGTATTAATTTTTCCCTAGTCAGCGCTTAATAAAAGCAGTTACTTTTACTCACTTTTTCGTTTAACCATTAAGTTTATTTGATGAGTCGATCAAATCAATAAAAAGGCTTTAAAACCATTTTTATTTTCAACAAGAATTAATTTTATTTTGTATTAATTCTACTCAGCGCTTAATAAAAGCAATTACTTTTAGTCACTTTTTCTTTTAACCATTAAGTTAATTAATTAATGAGTTGATCTAATCAATTAAAGACGCAATATATGATGAAACTATTGAGGCTTAAGTCGACTTTTTCCTGACATTCTAATACTTAGTATTTTGCACTCGACATTCATCTTAACTATTTGCACAATACCCTGTTGAATGCGATTAATTAAAATCTCCTGGCTTGCACCTTTCACTGTCAAGTTCAAATCGTAACTCACAAATCCCTAATTAACTTATGTAAGCAGCACCCTCTCTCGAGCTAATGTGGAGGAGATGCATTACTTTTAATTAAAAGAAGGACACCCATCTCCCAGCTGGCTGAGTCCCTCAAAGATACACACGACATGGCAACTACTGGTGGGGAGAACTCTGTAGACACACTTGTTGCCGCAAACGTGACTCGCATGCCGGCCGATTGTATAAGCGAGCAGATTTGCCTGTGACTGTGGCATAAGTGCATTTCCGCACCCAACCCGGATATAAACTTGAAAATTCAAAATGCGCAACACAATCTGAGCCGCACAATGCAAGAGTGCACAAAAGTGCAAAGGACAAGGGGTGAAAGGTCGAGCAGCTTGCTTGAATGCCTTTTCACAAGTTTAATTGATTTTCAGTGGACGTGCCACAAATGCCACCAACTAAGAACAATGGGGTTTATTTTGAAGAAAGCTTTTGAATTTGAGAAATTTATGAAAACGTGCAACACTAATATCACTTTTAGGGGTGCAGGAAAGCCGGAAATGCTCAAATAATTCAAGTACTATAAAGCCATTGTTGCTTTGTCCAACAAACAAAAAAGTGAAACCTGTGCAATCTAGAAAACTATGTAGCTTACAATTGACAAAGGAAATGGCTAATTCTTTCTTTTGCTTTCATATGGAAAACTTTTTCTTCTTAATACAAATTATCTAAATTGAAGTTATTTAAAATGAAATAAAATAAAATTGTTGCCTATTTACAAATGAATAAATGCGAGTGGCTTATAAGGGGTGTTGAGTTCTTCAAATTGCAGTTTGCTGTGAATTTTCAATAGTTTTGAGACATAAGTTAGGTTAAAATTTGTCACTAGATTGGCAAGGTAAAGGCTTACCTTATATATAGAAATAACTATCTCATTTATTTGCAAAAATTATAAAGGAAAATCAAATAAAGTCCCTTCGAGTAGCAAAAACAAATAATGTCTCTAAAATCGTCTTATATCAAATATAGTTTACAAATTAAAGGCTAAAAGAATCGTTAAGCAACTTAAATGTATATTTATTTAAGCTTTATACTATATTTTTCATTTAATTTCACTTGATTTTTAACTCTTTAGATTTTTAATATATTTTTCAATCGTTTTCACTTGATTTTTAAAGAGAGAAAAAATTCGATATATCTGCAATTTTTTGATTAATTTTTTAAAATGTATATAATTGTATAATATTTTGTTTATTTGAAAGGGCCAATGTCTGCTCTATAAAATCTGCGATTTTTCGATTCTATACTGTATCCGAAGGTTTGAAAGATATTACGAAGATATTACCGGGGCGGAGGCGTTTATTGAATTATTGATTGATGGTATTTCTCCTATTTAGGCTTTTCTAGCTTATAAGTATGTTTTTTTAATATTAATTGATATAAATATAAATAAAAAGAAATATTATATTTTCTTAAACATCATATTCTTAATCATAACATTAAACATATGCCTGTCTCGCATCTGTCCATCCGTCCCTTCATCTGTCTGTATGAATGCCAGCATCTTTGAAAGTAAAAGCGCTAGAGCCATCGACTATTGCCCGATGTTCAGTCTACATATGTTTACTTTTTAAATGCATTTCTCACTTCTCTGCAATGCGCTTTTAACTGAATTTGCTAGGGAGTATGAAAACTACAAGCTCCAAAAGTGTCATATATGTAGATACATCTAGATCCAGCAAACCACACTCTCCCCTTGAAGACATTTTATGTGAAGTGCTACTTTTCTTGGAAATTCGATCAAATTCCAAGTTGTATCTTCAAAGCACAACTATGTTTTTCCATAAATATTTATTGCAAGCTCCCACAATTCCACGAACTTGTTATTTGCGATTACTCTCTCCAAGCGCTATGACCACAACTCCAAGCTCGAAAAAAGAACGCATGCAAGCATTTGTTAATATCTGTTTGTTTAATGTATACGATTATGTCTGCGAATAGTTCAAAGGAAATGCCATGAGGTAATCACATGACCGTACTAATTACGCAAGGCAACCTCTTGCAGAAAAATTGAAACACCAACAGCTTTTGACGGCTTATATCCAGGCATACCATTAGTATGCACATACATTTGGCCATTTGCGGTTTAATGCTGCGATTTGAGTGCCACCCTAATGCGTGGGCGCATAATTACTGACATCATTTTGATGTGGGGCGGAATCAAAATCGGTTGGCACATGAATATGGCAGAGACACATAAGCCAGAGGTCCTAAACGGCGTGCATGGCATAAATCCCGGGGCACATACTATACGAGTACGAGTATATCCAGCAAATTGGCAATTGGAGTGGAGTCCTGCGTGCAACAGGTAAGAGCCCGAAAATTTACATGGAGTACAGGACACAGCAAATGACGTAAGCAGTAAATTTTAATGACTTGTTTCATCTTTTTTTTTTTGTAGGTCGGTTGGCTGGTTGGTGTTGGCCATAAAATGCTGCCGGCGGCTTCTCAGCCGCGTCGCACTCTCCACAGCCAGCTGTGGCAATGTTCGGCGCGTTTAGTGGAAATTATATTTGGTGTGCAACGTCATTTTTTACGACTCTGCATTTTTATGCACGAAATCTAAAAGTAGAACAGCTAGCTACCTGCCTGCCTGCAAATTGGGATTCCACTTTTTTTTATGAGAAAGTGCAGTTGCAGTGGAAATGCCGCAGGAAGTTTCAAAATTTAAATATCACAAATGACTGCAATATAAATGGAATTGCTTGGGCGGGTAATCGGATTTAAGATTAGGTAAATAGTTGATAATGTGGGAGACAACAATAAACAACAAATTTAAAATAAAATAAAACGTTCAAGTATTCAAAAAAGAAGTAAGTGTTGTTCGACAAATTGAAATTGATTTCTCTATGCTTTTAGGTCGTATAGTTTTTTCTGTATCTTCTAGGCCAACAAGGAACTTTTTACCCCACTGGGTCATTTATTCTCCACCTTTTAAGCTTTTCATTATACTTTATGTTTTATTATTTTAGTATTTTAATTTGAACTTATTATTATTTTAATTTAATTTGACCTTTTTCTGACTTTTTATTGATAAGAGGTTCTTACAGTGTCCATAAAATAAAGAAGTTCACTGTCCATTTTGATAAATATACTTATAAAAAACAAAAAAAAAAAACTCCATTTGTTTAAGTTAGGTTTAATAACGTCTCTAAATGCTCTCTGCTGTGAATCGAGGCATAGCTGGCCGTTACTAACGCCTTTTTATTATTCAGTTTTATTTAGTACAAGTTTTCTATTTCTTTTTTTGGTTTTAATTTTATTTTTTATAGATCGACAGCTTTATTTGTCAATAAAAGAAAAAAATAAATAAATAAAATAAATAAAGAATTGACTGCATTATAAATGGAATTGCTAGAGCATATAATCGAATTAAAAATAGGCAAGAATAAACAACAAATTTAAAATAAAATAAAAATTTCAAGTATTTAAAAAAGACAGTTACTTTATTTCATAATACTTGAAAATTTCCCCAACAAATTTATTTATTTCTGCATCTGCATTTCTTTTTAGTTTTATTTAGCATAAGTTCTGTATTGTTTTGGTTTGTTTTTTAAATCGACAGTTTTATTTTTCCAAAAAAATATAAAGAAAAAATGACTGCAATATAAATGGAATTGCTAGGGTGTTCACTTTTGAGTGCGTGGATTCGCATTTCAGATAATATAAAATACTTGCTGAAAACAACAAATTGAAAATAAAACAATAAGCACAAGTATTCTACCATTTATGGCGAAAGGGAAGCTTCGAAATTCTGTCCACCTACACATTAGCCATGGCTGGCTATCAGCGAACCACACATAAACCCATCAACAAACTAACGAAATCTGCTTTTGACAACTTCAAAAGCGGCCCAAGCACAGCATTTAAACGTGTAGCACGATAATTATAATGCCATGCAATAAAACGTGTGGCACAACATTCACGCGTGGGCGAGTCAACACCACAACCAGCACCACCACAACCACCCACAATAACTCATAAACTGTTTGATAGATTAAGCCAAGCTAGCCGGCTGCTGCCGATCCGGGGGGTGTGCGATAAATAAAACTAATAACGCAGCGCGTTGCCTTTGGCCAAGGCATTGTCTGGCTGCACTGCCACAGATCAAATGGAATGGCCAACATAATCAGGACATTTTTATTGCGCCTGATAAATAACGCTCAAATGTTAATTAGAAACCTAATATTGAGCAGCGATTCTTCAAAGGGCTGCGCACACAGCCACAACTGCAAAAGGATGTGGTTGTAGGAGTAAACGCAATTTTCACGTGTCCTTTTCGCATGCCGCTAAGCTGTGCGCACAAATGGATTAAAAGCTGGCGAAAAAAAAAAATTTACGAAAGCAAATCAAAAACTGCGCATTGCAGGCAAGCCGCTTAGTTGGTAACCAAACATTTCCACTTTGATTTTTTTTGTTGCTGTTGGCAAATATTTGGCAACTTTAAAATTAGCAATAAAAAATATTGCCAAATATTTGCACAGCCCGCAAGCAACGTGAGGGAACACATACTATATATACATCCATATCTCTATATATATTTGTACTTATATGTTAGTGCGTTCAGACGACAACATCATTACCGCGTCTACGTCATAAGCGGCTGACATTGTTGGGCCTGCGTGTGATTTATGCTTTTGGTCACTTGATATTTTAAGACAAAATTTTCGGCAAATTGAAATTTCGCAATAAGGGAGACAACGTACACCTACACCCACATCCTCCCATTCCTACGCCGACAAGTGGTGTCAGTCATATTTGTACTTGTACTTGCGGGCTGATATCTAATTGTTTGCGTGACGAAATTTCAGATTGTAAACGAATATTTTTAGACTGTTGCCTACTTTTTTGGGCGCGCTTGTTTCGCATGCCGAAAAGTGAAAAGTGAAAGTGTCAAAATAGCATTGATGTGTTGCTTTTGCTTGGATTCTGAAACAATATCAAATGTCAACATGGAATTTGTGGCAAACATCCAGCAGCAATTGAAAAACGGCACAAAACGGTGGTGAAGTAAAGCGAAACAATTTGTGGATTTGTGTGGAATGCCAGTGCTTCACTACTATATTTAGTTATACTTATGGAGAGTTGTGTGAAGAGCCAAAACGATTTTAAAATAGGGCTCTAGGTCTAGACTGAATTGAAAACAGGCTTCCAGTAAATTTAAAATCATTCAGTAAAACCGACTTGAAATTTCGCAAAAGCAATTATATTAAAAGTAATTTTGAACAGCAATATGTATTCTAATTCTTCAAGCTGTGTTGAAATATTTGCATTCAACTTTAAGATTTTATTATGATTGTTTTGTCAGACATAAGTATATATTAGGAGCTTAAAGATCTTTCAGATGTAAAACTAATTTGCAAGCAAACAGCAAGCAGCTTTTGGCCAACTAACAAAACAATTGCAAAGGGAAATAAAGATGAATAGCTTTAAATATTTATATATTATATATTTCTCTAGGCTCTTTCTACAACTGCTGGCTAAATAAACTAACTCCAAAAATGTATGTAGCTTTAAAAAAATTTTGAAAATCAAATTTATGTTTTTGTTGACTTTTCTAGCACTTTATCAAAGCAACTTCTCCCTTATTTATGCAGCCAACCCGCGAGAAACTTTTGGCCCTCTCCCCCATTTCTCTCCAGCAATAATACAAACAAAACGCTGAGCAATACTAATAAATATTAAATGCAATTTGATTGCGGTTTGTTCTGCCATAAAAGTAAAACGCAGTGCCAGGCTTCAATCGGTCAATTGCTTATTTTTCTGCTCTTGTTATTCGCCCTTCGTCAGGGAGTGGGGTGAAAAACTATTGAAGGCACTGTTGTAGGGACCGCTCAGTGTGCACACAGACAACTTGTTGAACCCTCAGTTTGCATAATTGATGTCTGATTGCGATTTCTTGTTGTTTAATATCAAAATAAAAGATTGCAGTGCGTTGCTGTGCCATTTGGCATGTTGATGCGAACTTTTTCACATTATAAATAATTTACATGATTTTCAATAAAGCCTTTCGCTGCTTGTCGTCTTGTTGGACATTTTCGCAAGTCCCCTAAGTGACGTATGTGTTTTTATAAAATACGTGCACGCCTACAAGTACATGAATACATATACTAGATAGCTGTAACAGGAACAGCAACAGACATTTTAATATGCAACAAGGACATTACAGAGTGTCATAATTTATTAAAAAATAAGCAGAAGAAGCTTTGCAACTGGCTTGGTAGCTGCTACCTGCCATTAATATAGAAGTGGCAGTAAAAACGCGCTCTCGTTTCTAGGGAGATTGGCTGGTCTTTAAATTAAATTGGCGAGCTATATAATTACTTAAGGAAATGACGTGGGAACTGTGGAAAAAATATAAAAATATAAGCGCAGCTGTTGCTGGCTACCTAACGGATAATTATAAAAACAATTAGAAATGATTTGAAACAAACAATTGCTTGCTCGCTGACATCATAATTTAGTGAACTCTTTTTAAATAAAGCATCGAGCAATTCTTTATTATGAGAAACAACATGCATGGCTAATTGTCTTCCAAGCCGACAAATTGTGGCACAATAATCATAGTTCTGGACCAATCATAAAATCATGAAGTAATCAGGGCTTTCGACTTCGGACGGGTTGCTAGAAAAATGTCGCAAACAACTGTACATACTATATCTGGCGGAGGATCGGAGATAAGCCTAGTTAATCTAAATCTATTCAACGAAAAGTCTTTGCCAGAAGCACAGTTCCCGGATTGTTTCTCTATTATATAATAAATGTTAAATTTATTATATCCTTCCCAATTAGTTTAATGAAAGAAAATGCAAAGAATAAAAACCCCAGGAGATGAACAAATCGTGAAAAATGGGGAGTTGTCAACTATTTTCATAGTTTAAATTAAAATGTTCATATTTAAGCTTTGAGAAAATGTGAAATGTGAGAAAATGTTAAACTATAGTTCTATAGATGCATTTTATTACTTTTTGCTTATTTTCTATTAGATTACTATTTGTTTTTGGTTGAACTAAAAACTAATATTGACTATGATTCCTAAATAGCTATTTTAACAGAGAAATAAACTAAAAGTTGGATATGGTTGGATATTTTTCTGGACACGGATTGAGTTTGCACAATGAACGATCCTGACTTTACATTTATTTAATTTTACATTTGAATATAAGTAGTTTTCTCACAAATGATTTGAAAGACAGCTCTGGGTCGATACGATTCTTATCTAATCGTATCAACTTCCCTAAGCAATTACAAAAATTTATTATAGCAAGAAAGAGATGTGACAGAGTCTTACAAATTCACATTTTTCTTGCTTCAAAAGTTTAAGTGGTTATAGGAACCCTAGTCTCCCTTAATTGTCAATATTTTCTAAGTCATATGAAATTGAGTCTTATAATTTTTATCCATTCAACTTTTATCAATGCTCTCTAAAAAAAACTAGTATAGCTACTGAAACATTTTACACAATGTTTTAATGAATATTTTTAATGAAAGTATATAAAAAAAACCGTGGCACTAAATTCTATTTTTTCCGGTTTTTTTGAGCTACAAAAGCTTGTTAAATTTTTTTTTTTTTATATGTACTTTAAATATTTTTAAGCAAAATTAATGATATGTACTCCCGCGTTTGTTAACAGTTACTTTATAGATTCGGTTGGGTATAGTTTTATAAAGTTTCCAATGTAATTTAGCCATTTCTAGCCAACTATCCCCACACGTTCTCAATGATATTAAGATCTGGCGAGTATAGAAACCACAGAAACGATTGACTTAGGAGATAACAAAACTCATCTAATCTTATCAACTTTAATGCCATTTCCAGTTCAGATAAGTTATGTGACGGATACTGCCTGGTTAGTTTGTTATTCATTTAAAAACTTGATTAAACATTTATTTTGAAATGTGATTTTTCTGGAGACGGCAAAAGTTCTCACAACGAACTCACTTAACTGATGCTGTCTAGACAGTTTACTATTCATTTAAAAAGTGCATTACAGGTTTTTTTATGAGCAATCAATCAAAGATTTAAAACAAAACACCTTTTCTCTATCTGTAATTAGCTCTCAAAAGTATCCCTTTCTACACATTTTTTTAAATCTTGCTGACTGCTGATTAGATTTTTAAATAATTGATCAAAATGTGTAATGTCCTTAAATACTCTACGACTCAAAAAAGGGGTCGCACCTGCAAACATCTACTCTTTCATTCATAGATCCCGCCCGCAATAATTCATTTGCTGTCACCTCTGACCCGGCTAAGGGCCGCCTACAGGTGTATATAATTCAATTAATCAAGTTGAGCTGCGAAACCGATTAATATCCTAAAACACACACACAGCCACTACACAGTTAAGTGACAATATTAAGAAAAACACTCACCGTTTATTTGGAGGAAAAAAGTGTGGTTGAAGTTTAGAAATTTTGACGCGAGTCGTGAAACGAAATAATTGTGCCGTTTTAATTAATTTTGGAATTTCACGTATGTGGCAAAAACGTTTAAAAGAACAACAATAAACTTTAGACACTGTTGCAGAAAAAGGATCCTGTTGAAGAGTCCACTTAGGCTGGTTTCTCGTTGGCTGCCTGTTTCTATATCGATGTGAACGCCAAGAAGTGGAATTGTTAACTCGATGTTCGTTATGCACGGCAACTGCTTTATATACAGAATAACGACAGCCACATCAACGTTAACGTCGGCGTCTGCGTCGGCGTTGGCATCACCATTGACGTCGACGTCAGCAGCGACAGTAGCAGGAAGCAAGCGCAGGAAGAGCTTTGTGTTTAGGAGGCGCCTTCAGATGCTTGTTACCTCGTCTCAGGCGTTGCGACATTTTGTTAAACCACGCTGCAACACTTGTTGTGCTGCCACTGTACGAGTGTGTGTGTGTGTGTGTATTAGTGTGTGTCCCACGCTGCGTATGAGCAACGTGCGCTTATTCACCATAATGTCCGTTATAAATGTGGTGAATACGAAAACAGGGTGGCAGGCGGGCGAGCGGGCGGGCAGGCAGACCACACCTGTTGATTAGCACTTGAGTGCGTTTGGACTTGTTGCATACTTTGCGGCGCTACAGCGACGCGCATTATGTACCTAGATGTGCCCAACACATGTCCAACATATGGAAATTTATGAATAAGTCCATTAGATTTATGATGCCAGCTTTTTTCTGATATCAATACGCGTCCAGACAACCTGAACTCTAACTATTTATATTTATATAAAGCGGATGTGTGAATGCAAATATACTTGTATGCGAGTATATGGATACTTTTTTATAAACGATTATTTTAGCTGCTGTTGCTGTTGTCCGCACTTACCTCAATCAATTAACACTCAAGCAGCAATTATATGCACATAAAATTTCATTTATGTGCAACAAGACGGCTCTTTGTTTTTCTTATTTTTTTTATAACAATGAGTGGGCGACTCAACTGCCATTAATATTACAAATTAGTCAATAAAACTTGTCGTTGATTGCCGCTCATGCTGGGAAGTTGCAGCTTTGTGAATGCAATTTAACTTCGCCATAAAGCCAATTACGTGCGTGCGCTGCACATTAAAAGCCATTCGTAATTTATATGCATATTATTGTCCGCTTGCCATTGATATGCAATGCCCGCGTATACCGTTTGGAAGTGGCTGCAAGAAGTTGCACAAACTTTGGAGGTAAAAATTTGCATTGAAAGTGAAACTATGGCCACAATTTGGGGGTTTCTTATTTTAAATAAACAAGTTATTTGGAAAAAATTGGCTAATTGGCTAAGGAATGAAGAATTGTTTTCATTTATTTCCGACATAAATGAAATAATTAATCGTTAAGTTTATTTAACAAATTTAATGATTGTCCACGATGGACAGTTTTGAATAAAAACACTCTTCTGTTAAAATTGATTTCCGAAATGAGAGCAACAATATTTATCTGAAAGCATTTGGCCCAGTGGATTTCTAAGCTAAAAATGTGTTTTCAATATTAAATATCTGCAAAAATATATATTACGTGTTTTAATAACTTTTTTATATCAAACTTCATAAGTTTTCTAAAACTAACCAATTTTTAAAATTTAATAAAATAGAGCAGTTCAGTAAACAGTTATTTTAGGAACACTTTTATGCATCAAAGCTAAATTGTAATGCCATTTCGATCTGGCTTAAATATTGTAAATGCAATTTATTAGTTTGAAAAGGGTTTTGAAAAATATTATAATATATTTAGAATATCTCAGATTCGAGCACTTGCTTATAATTTACAAGATGCATCCTCAGTAAACGGGACTTTTTATAAATATTCCCTCACATATTGTTGGATGAATGCTTTAACGCAATGTTTATTATATTTATTTAATTGACAAGCGAGTTATCGCGTGCTAGTGGTATATGCAATTCAGGGATAACTGTCAGATATCGTGAATTCAAAAGATGCGAGAACTGATCAAAATTCAGACCAAATCTTCGGAAATGGAAATGGCATTCAATATCACTAAATCAATAACTACTGAGAATTCAACAGTCAAAAAAAATCTTTAAGAAGTCGGATCGTGTCGAAAGTTTATAACAAATACTTTACTTTCCTTTCCCAAAAGTTTTCTATGTAGACTAGCTGCTCGTAAAGTGGAAATGGGAAAGTCTACAGCAAACTTAATCTATTTTTTCTAGAATCTTGTATGAGACTAGCTGTTGTTAAAGTGAGAATGCGAAGGACTTTAGCAAACAAATAAGGAGTTCTAGCTTTCTGCTGATAATACATTAAATAAATATTAAATAAACTTAGTTTTTTGAGCATTTTCTATCAATTTGTGAGCTTTTCAGGCATATAATTTAAAATTTTATTTACTTCAATAAATTAAATGACACAACAATTATGTCGAGCGTCGATCTTCTCAATGCGAATGCGTTTGCAAGGATAAATCACAACATTAACAGATCTACAGAAGGCGCAGCTATGAGTGCTAAATTGTTCATCAAGCTAAATAAAAATTGGTTTTTGCAGTCTGTTCCCAGTTATTTTAAAAAGCTAATGCATTTAAGTCAATCAAGTCATTATATATTGTGACTCACAAACAGCCCACACCTGAATCATCCTTTGCTGAAATGTATAAATAATAAGCAATACTTACTTCCGCCTGCCATTTGCAATTCTGAGTTCAATCGTTATCATTCGAGTAAGCCGACGGTTTGGTAGATACGAGTACATATCTAAATAATCAGCACCAGCTTGTCATAAATTGCTGGGCATGTCAATGCGTTTAAAGCCCAACGAGACCCACACAGATATTTTTAGGTACACTGCATTATAATGTGTGATTTATTTATGAGAGCTACCGTAAATATACATACACATATACATGTTTATTATTGTTTATAATTTATAATGCATATCCGCGCACATATGTATAGGGGGTTTAATATACAAATAGAATATGTTGCATTTGTGTACAGCAAATGATTTCAGTTAATTGCTCGAAAGACTTTCAACGGCAACGATTACAACAGGAGCAGCAGCAGTTGAGGGCAGAATGCAGAATGCGGGCAAGTGGCAAGAAGGATGTTAAAAGGATCGAGTTCAGTGGGATCAGAAGCAGCTCACAGCATTGAAATAACAGCGCCAATACATGCGACCACCGGAGCCAACATTTAGGCGCCTGCCACCGGCGGTGCTTCCACTGCCAACACCACCACCACCACCACCGCCTCCAGAGCCAGCGCCAGCTTGGAGCGACGCCGAATTCGTTAATAATGCAACACCATCTGTGGCACCAACACCACCGGCTCCGCCGCCTCCGATGCCCATATTCGCTCTTCTCTGAAAGCTCTTTGGCATTAACTGAAATTTTCTTACACATGTCGTACTAATTTATGTTTTGAATTGCAACTTAGGTTTTAATATCCAACTTACTGTTTCGCCGGTGGCGCGATTTATTTGACTTAAATCTTTAAAATCATAATCCAACAAGATGCTGGGATCATCGTCACTATATTGATGAAAGTTGGTGTTGGTGCTGGTGCTGGTGCCTTTAAATTGAGTTTAGAATTGTAGTCAACAGTACCACCTAGTAGTCTGATTTCATTCTCTTTTTTTCACAACTATTTACCATCGTTTGTCTGCTGATTTTCCAAGCCATTGTTGTATTCATTTGATATTGCATTATGTATGTTTTTATTGGTATAGTAGTCGCTAATTCTGTGAGCGCCCCGTTCATTCTCCAAGGCATGGTGAAGGGCAACCATAAGTCGGTCCAGCAGTAGAGCAGCGCGTTTTGGTACAATCATCTGAAAGGATTAGAGATTATAGTAGAAAGCTAACTCTATTGAACTCTGTTTATAGAATTCGGAACTCTTTATAACCATTCCTACCATTAATTGTTTCTTTTACTAAACAATTTCTTATACAAGTACATACTTATAAAAGCTAATGGTAAGCAAAGTTTATAGCAAATAATTGATCCAATTAAAAAGCCAAATCGGGAAAGCACGTTGAAATTCCATGATGAGACCGATGTTGCCAAAGCATTTGTAATAACGTGGGGAAAAAAATCATACAATTTTATAGAATTTAAGGCCGCTTGGATTAATAAATAGCGCCACTAATGTTACCAAAATTAAATGTAAATAAATTATGTTTTCAAGCTAACTTCATTTGACAAAAACGTGTCTATAAACGGCTGATACACATTTCTTTGGTTGTTTTTAAACACCCGTAGGCTTACGTCTTAACTACAATTTAGATACAATATTAAACTATTGAACTGATCTACTATCTTCAGGAGCAATAAGAAGTATCCAGTTTCTTATTTATCTTTTCCCTGATTGACTTTTTCTTTAACATTTAAAAATTGTTATTCATTTTAAAACTTTGCTCACTATTTAAAAAATTCCTCAAAGCACTTAATGTTAGTAGATTTATTAAAAAAGCACTTATAAGAATTTACAAAATAATGCTGGTTTCAATTTTATTTCTAATTCGAAGAAAATGAAGAATTTTTTCATATAGCGGCAAAAACAATGCAAACAATTTCCATTTTATTTTCTTCAATTGTCTGTCTTTAAAAAAAAAGAAACCAAATGCCAAAGTCATACTGGTCAGTATTTATAAAGTAGAATAATGGCAATATAATAAATAGGTTAAAAAAAATTCAATTAAGGAACATCAGTGTTTTGGTGTTGCTCTTTCATGAAAAAAATCTTGTATGTATAAGAAACAAAAAACAGACCTATATCTAAATTTTAAATTACAACTTTGACCATCTTTAACCATCTCCAGTAAAATATTAATTAAGAATCAGTCCAATTGGCTGATATTTCATTTCAAATTTTTTTAGTTGAAAAAAATACAATAAAAGCCTTTCTTAAAACCTTTGCAGCAGCTTGAAATGAAAAAAAAAATTAAAATATGGGTGTGAGTTTAGAAGTAGTTGAATATTTCCTGTATCTTGTTTTTTGAAAAAAAAAAAACATAAAATGAATTAATGAATTTAAATATTTCCTGAGCTGCAGAAAAATCAAAAATAGATATTTATCATTTACCTGCAATAGGCAACGGATTGATATATCCTATAACATGCGCTGATATGCGTCTTTTTATAATTTAACTTAAATTTTGATTTTAAAATATCGTTGAAGATGAATTCAAAAACTGCTCACAAATATGTGCGTATGCGTAATAAATATCACCCATACGAGGTGTGGCCACAAGCTTGAATTTATTTATTTTATTTGTGTGTTTTTCTGTTTTCTTTGCTGACGTCAGTCCTGCTTTCCCCATCCCTCCACATACTTTTGAGTGCAAACAGCGAAAAACTTTGCTTCCAAATATAAAAAGAAAAAATACCATTGGGAAGAGCAAACAAATAAAACAACCACCTGAAGGCTTTACAATCGCATGCGAATTTCGTCTACAATTACAAATATAAATTGTGTAAAGCGATATGAATTCAAAGCTATTTTCGGTTACCTTCCATCCCCGCACCTCTCGCAGAAAACTACTCACCGGATACTCATCGTAGCTCATATCCATATCGCCAGCGCTGGGCGCATTGAAAATCTGTTCGGGCTGACTGCCAAGGCCAGAGACGGTGGCACGTTTATCGGAGCTGTCGTCAAGCTCTGCCGCAGCGCTGCCCACAAATTCATGAGGTGGTGTGGCCGCTCGGTCCGCTTCCGCTCTGGGCATTAGACGCCTCGTACTCGAGGGCGTCACTTGACGGCACATGTGGAGCTCCATGTGCTGCAAGAGGACCAGCACAGCAATTAACAAGGCAGGCAAATAGTGAGTTGTTGTTGCTCCTGTTGGTGCGGCTGTTAGCTGCTGGCGATGGCGCCTGATGGTATGCAATGCATTTTGGTGTTGGCTTTCCATGCACTGGCGCTGGCGCTGGCGTTGAAGCTGACGCTGACGCTGACGTTGATGTTGATGTTGTTGATGGCGTTGCAACAACAATAACATGCTGACGTCGAAAAATTAATTAGTGTCACCTGGCGCTTTGAGTTTTGTCAGGAGCTGCACTGCTATTGTCACCAAAGTTATTGCCTTTGCCACTTTCTTGCTGTTGTTGTACCGACGAACTTTGAAATTTCAACTGAAGCGTTCGCTTTATGTGCGACGTGCTTTTATAGTGCTGCCATTTACCAGCATCCTGACATTCCTTTCCTCTCTTCACTTTTACTTCACTTCATTTTTGTGTGTGTGTGTTTTTTTTTATAATAATAATGAAACATTACAAACGCTTGTTAATCAGCCACTTAAAAAAAAAAAACGCAAACGCTCGGCCGGGGGGAGTTAAATGTTCAGCCATGTTCTGTGGCAACAGTGAAACGCTCTTTTGCAACAACTGTGATTTACAGCTATGTATGCTGGCTTGCCTGTTGGCCTCGTGCTGTTGTTGCTACTGCTGTTGTAATTATTGTACATAAAAATACATGTTTGCTGACCGCGTTGCCTGCAGCCAACTTATTAAGCCGCCCACGCCCACGCCCAAGCCCAAGCCCTCACCCACACCGACAGGCTCGCATACTTGCGCACATAAGTGTATGTGGGCGGGTCTTTGGCCTCCGTTGCAGCCAATTGATCAGCTTTGGCTGCAGCGGCTTAAAACAAAGCCAGTCCATAGCCCTAACGAGCGAAAATGTGCTGTACGAGTAGTCCTGGCCGCGCTCCTTGAAATAGCCCCGCTTTGTGCGCAGCCTCTGTCTGCGTCTGTCCTTTGTGGGATAAGCAGTCGCAGCATACTCGTATGTAAAAAATAAAATAAAACAGGCGCTTCTTTAGTTATGCACACCTCATGTTTCCCAACCCCTTAGTGGCTATACTTAGTCTTTATTTTAAGGACATCTCACTGACTTTAATTAAACACTCCTCACTCTTCACAACCCTTAGCCAACTGAAGTTAAGCTTTATTTGAAGGACATGATCTTGAATTTGATGAGCAAAAAATATGCTACTTACTAATAAAACAGGAGCAAGGCTGGCTAGAGCCTAAACGGCTTTTACACTGAATTTTGTATTTAGAAAACTAGGCTTATCTTGATTTATGGCATCTTTTTTTCCTAGTCCATATTGGTTTTGTTGCCTTAATTTATTTATACCACACTGACTATGAAGATGGCAAATGGATTTTGGAAGGAACTTACAACTACAGAACTGCTCACAGTTTACTTCTAGCTTGCGATTTAAACCTTCAACTTATCCCTCGCCAACTTACCCTTTCCTTATGGTTCTTGCTTAACTAAACCTTAATGAGAATCGAAAAGCTCAACATGGCTTTTTGTCTTCATTTCCAATGCTTCTTACAAATGACTGAAGTCTACCGATTTAATAAGAACAGACAATTAAGTTTGAAATAGTTTTTAATAAGTCTCCGGATTTATTTATTTCATCGACAAACAATGAAGTCTATGTAAAAGAAAAAAGAAAGAATATTTGTTTTTATGTTTTCAAAACATCTCCTAGATCTAGTTTTTACGTGTATGTATAATATATTTTAATGTTAGGAAAACAAAAGAACATTTAATACAGTCATGAGAAACAATAAAAATAAGAAAAGAAAATGAAATTTCAAATAGCTTTTAATAAGTCTCCAGATACTTGCTTTTATGCTTTCATAACAGTCATGAAAAACAATAAAAATAAGAAAGGAAAATGAAATTTACTAATCCTCCAGGTACTTGTTTTTAAGTTTTCACAACATCTGCTAGATCTAGTTTTTAATAGTATGTATAATATACTTTAATATTATAAGAAATAAATATAAATAGAAACAATAAAAATAAGAAAAGAAAATGAAATTTCAAATAGCTTTTAATAAGTCTCCAGATACTTGCTTTTATGCTTTCATAACAGACATGAAAAACAATAAAAATAAGAAAGGAAAATGAAATTTCCTAATCCTCCAGGTACTTGTTTTTAAGTTTTCACAACATCTGCTAGATCTAGTTTTTAATAGTATGTATAATATACTTTAATATTATAAGAAATAAATATAAATAGAAACAATAAAAATAAGAAAAGAAAATGAAATTTCAAATAGCTTTTAATAAGTCTCCAGATACTTGCTTTTATGCTTTCATAACAGACATGAAAAACAATAAAAATAAGAAAGGAAAATGAAATTTCCTAATCCTCCAGGTACTTGTTTTTAAGTTTTCACAACATCTGCTAGATCTAGTTTTTAATAGTATGTATAATATACTTTAATATTATAAGAAATAAATATAAATAGAAACAATAAAAATAAGAAAAGAAAATGAAATTTCAAATAGCTTTTAATAAGTCTCCAGATACTTGCTTTTATGCTTTCATAACAGTCATGAAAAACAATAAAAATAAGAAAGGAAAATGAAATTTCCTAATCCTCCAGGTACTTGTTTTTAAGTTTTCACAACATCTGCTAGATCTAGTTTTTAATAGTATGTATAATATACTTTAATATTATAAGAAATAAATCTAAATAGAAACAATAAGAATAAGAAAAGAAAATGAAGTTTCAAAAAGCTTTTAATAAGCCTCCATATACTTGTTTTTATGTTTTCAAAACATCTGCTAGATCTAGTTTTTACGAGTATGTATAATATACTTTAATATTATAAGAACAACATAACATTTAATACAGTCATCAGAAATAATAAAAATCGACTTGGTCAGCACTTATGGTTATGAGCATTCATGTCGCACAAGTCTTACAAAAACAGGCAGTGGGCGTTCGCCAAAGTTGATTGACCACACAAAATAGTTGCTTAGTTTATTGAACCTATAACTACATTATTTAGCTGTGCATTAATTGCCAAACATGTGACATGCAAATACCACAATATTGCAAGGCCGAGTAATAAAATATATGTATGTATGTACCACCCACATACATCAACAAAACAAAAGCAAATAATTCGATTTCATACAAAAAGTAAGAGAAAAATAAAATGTATGTATATGTGTGTGCATCGTAAAAAGCTTTGCTGTCTAGATCCAGGAGCTACAACATCCTGTGGAGACAGCAAACAAGAAAAATATATTTGAGAAAGTGCACAGTTTACTTCGGGAGGATTGTAAAGCAAATCAATTATTTACGTTACACACACATTGAGGATAAATATTAACACCTTAAACATACTAAGCAGAGCAACAAACTAAGGTCCCTGGGGCAGCATTTTTAAGCCTCAGATAAGCTCTTCTAAATCCACTTCCCTTTCCCAGGTTACGTTTTAAGTCCTTTGCAAAACTATAACCTTTTCTACTATAAATACATATGTGACATTCGAAACGAAGGACTGGCAATCGTGCCATTAAAATCTTTCCTATTGTTTGTAAAGTGTAGTTTCGAAAGTGGATGTGGAGTTCTATTAACAGATCTAGTTTTTGTTTTATTTTCTTATAACTTATGAAGATAAGAAGTATTTGAAAAAAGGACAAAGGAATAAATTGTCTGAAAGAAATTGACCAACAAGGAATAACGAAGAAGGCAGCATAGGAGTTCAGTTTTGAGATAACGGAATTATTAGAAGAAGAAGTTTGAGTTGGCTATAGAATTAGAATAGAGATATACATTTTTTTCAAATTACAAGTTATTTGAAAACAATAGTTGTCCCGGAATGGAAGGTCAAGCGGGTGGATTCTTTTGAGACGTCTGTGATGCTCGCTATAGAATATAAATGAAATCGAAAGATGAACCAAGCTGTTTAAACTTTTTAAAGCATGTCCATATAATTTTTTAAAGTTTGAAAGTCTATGATGTTTGTTGAAAAATTGTTTTATTTATTACATGAAGGCCGCACTTAGTAATAAACAAACTTTACAGTCAGGAAAAAAATGAACATAGGATACATTTGAAATATTATAGGCACACGGACATATAGTAAGTCTCCAGTTTTCAGCAGCAATAAAGACGGGGTTAGGGAAGGACCTCAATTAACAATCTGGCCATTATGTTTTAAAGAATTCAATATGAGGCAGAATTCAAAATGATGCTATTCGAAATACAGACACCAATAAGAGTATTAATACATTATTCTGCTAACATTTAATTAACAGCATTAATTTATAGAACATAGCTCCTAAAATTCAATTCCATTTAATTGATTTCTACAATTTTCGTTTAACAATATATTTTCGAATTAATTTTATGTATTTTTCGTAACATTTTCAGTCGAATATTGAAAACAAAACAAAGCTGACAGTGTAATAAAAATACGCAGCATTGGCAACCCTGTCAGCTGTCAAAATGATGGACCTGCGCAGAGCAGTGTTGGCCCAGCAAATGTCAAAATAGACACACACACGCACACACATATGCATAAACACACTGGACCCGCACAGCATCAGTGCTAGGTAGTGAACAAGAGGAGTATCAGGTAGCAGCAGCAGCTGCTGCTTCACCAAATTCAGTTGCATACTTACAGGCGAGCGAGCGTGTTTGTAAACTCAGTCGCGTGGAAAATATTACATTAAGTATAAGTGGGGAGAATGCTAAGCAAAATAAAAACTGGCACACAAACAATAAATGAAAATGCTGCCGAGCAAAGCAACAGAAAATTGCAATAAATATATGAGCCAGTATGTGAGCGAGAGATAAATGAGCGAAGTCATAAATACGCGTAGATATTTAAAATTAGTTAATAGCTGGCAGCAGACTTACACAAAGGTGCTAAGATGCGTGCCTACTACACGTCTAAGGATAAGCGAACTTACGGCGACATGAGCTATGAGTGAGTAGACACAGTCTAGGCTTAGCTTAGCAGCAAGAGTGTGTGTATGTGTGTGTAAGTGTGTGTATGTGTGTGTGTTTGTAGCTTGCGAGCCCCTCACCGTGGGGTGTGGGGTGTGCAGTTGCCTGCAGGCGCTTGTTTGCCTTAAGGACCAAGCAAGTTGCATGCCATTTACACGCCTCGGCATTCAATGTGCTGCTGCCTGCGAGTATGTATGTGTGTGTGTGTTTCTGTGAGTATTTGTCTATTTGTTGATTTGCAGGGCTTGCTTTGTGTGCCGAAGTGAAATGCAATTTGGAGCATCAATTGAAAATTGAACACAAACAGACAGTTGGACAGAGAGAGAGAGAGAGACGAGTCAGATTGAGAGATGGACTTAAATTGCACACAAGGGCATTCAAACAAAACTGCCGCATTCGAGCGTAAACAAATGGCATAACAATGTCGCCTTAAAAAGTAGGTTAGCCACTGTCCCACAGCCTTTCAACATCTAAATGTTTTAACAAATGTCCTCGACTACCTTTCTCACTCGTAAATCTTTAAGTTTGGCTGCAATGCAAGCACCTCCATATGTTAATTTCATGCCAGGCACAATTCACTTTGCATACTTTTAGGCTGCTGTTGAAAATGCACATACATGCACGTGTATGTGTGTATGTGTGTGGGCTGGTGGGAAGGAGAAGAAAACAACTCATTTGAAAAACATTGACAACGGCACGTCCTTCTGTGCTGCTGCTGTAAAATCCTTTAGATTCTAGACCTGCTGAGTGTTCTTCTTCTTGTTGTTGTTGTTGTCATTATATTGTTTGTTGCTTTAATTAATGATTGTCAGCAAAATGCTCCAGTCCGCCTGGAAGACAATGAACCCTGCCGGAGCGTGATTTTTCCGTAAACTTTATTACAAGTGGCAGGGAACAACAAGTTTAAAAGTGAGAAAAACGCCGACATGAGTGATTAATGTACTTTAGCGACTCTGCAAGTATATATAAAATTAAATTAATATGACATAGGTGTTGGGCTAAAGCAGGAAACAAATAATATATGAGGAAAATTAAATTTCAATTGGTAAGCAGAAAGATTGGAAAGTTAAATATATTCTTGTTATGATTAACACATATAGTATATGAATACAAGTAGTAGTAGTAGAGACGAGTTAGATCTTGCTTTGTTGATCCATCAACATTCTGAGCTTGTTAAGCTGCCTTATCCTGTATTTTACGAGCGCTGGGCAATGGCATATTAGATCTTCTAAGCAACTGATTAATTCTGCATCAAATTATTCTCAGAAATCATATTTGAAACCATTAAGTAAAATACAAAAGGTTGAAAGTTGTTGATAAAGATGTTATCAATCCGCATATCCTTATGTTTTTAGAATAAAAGATTTGCTTTAGGAAAAATTTTAGTAAAACATATTTGTACAAAAAAAAGATGCACTAAGGAAATAGTATACATTTTTAATTTATTAGAATTTAATATTTAAAGTAACAACAGGAATGTTAACTTGCTTGCAATTTATAAAATTTTTTCATAGAAAGACACAGATGTATACTATTATACTACATGACTATATAGGCTTGTCTAGTCTAGTTTACCTTTAATATGGGGTGTGCTAAGCCAACTTTTGGGTGTTACAAACATCAGATAGGAGTACAATATTTGCATGTTTTTCGGGGAAATGTTTATTGGCAGAGAGAGCTGCTCGCAGGAGGATGGTTTTTAATACAAGTAGTAGAAATTGTAGTAGGTCCAGGTGTTCCTTGTGATGGGCAGATTGGGCATTTTTCATACCAAGGTCAGTCTTTTATTTTCCACGAAAATAGAAATGCTGTAAGTATTGTCTTGTGCATCGTGAAGAGGTTAGAGTCTCTCTAGCATTTTGATTGCGATACTTTGATTTAGACTTCAGCCAAATTTATTAAAAAATTAGTTAAAATCTTGCAAATATATAATAATTCCTATATGTATATAATAGGAGAAACTGTTAGCTTTGGTTATAAATACTTATATTGAAATAAAAAAGAATGTGATTTTTACAACCAAAGGGAAATCTATGATTTTTTAATCGACAAATAGAATATATCTATATTGTATATTTTTGAAACTACTAATAATAAACAACGGCTCATTTAATAGTGTTGTAAGTTTTATATTTATCCTTAATTATTAGAACATTTTTTTGTTTTTAGTCAAAATCTGCGAACGCTGTTATTTATGGAACATCACTTTATTTTTCAGAAGCAAATACCTGCTGGATCCCAAGTACATGACAAAGCGGGATATACAACATTTCTACCGATACTACAACATGACTAGGAATCGCAGTCAGTTCAAGAAAATCGTCGTCATTATTTTCTGCGTATGCGTCTTCTCCTATTTGTTTGTGGACTATAACTTAAGGACGAAGCTGCTGCGGTTGCGAGATAGATTCGATTTTATAGCACGCATCGATGCCGAATACAATATAACGCAGTCCTATTTTGTGGATACGCCCGGCTGTCGGATGCCCTATTTCGAGGTGATGGATGACAGTGTGGCGCAATATATGTTCAAGCCCAAGCCATTGAAATGCCGCAAGCCCCTAACGCGGACCAGCGATGACGTCTTGGGGGAACTCTATCTGAATATGAATGCCAGCGAATTGTTGTGGTATTACAATGTTAGTGATGTGACCTCCATAAGCTGTAACTATACGGAATTGAGACGCCTGACCGAGAAACTCAATACATACATGCCTAGTGTGCCCTTCAAGCTGGCTAGCTCCAGTGGCGAGGCAACGCCTGTAAGACTGCCTGCAGATGTCGAATTCATACGTGTCGAGTGCTCCGATGCCCACAAGAAACAAATCTATACAGACTGTCATTTCTTTGCTGTGGATAAGCAGGAGAAAATCATTACAAAAGCCACGCCCACGGTCGACAATGCCAGCACCGATCGGCCGTCCTTTGAACGTGTGGTCTTTAACAAGAAACACAAGAGCACGTATTCAGAGCACGGAGGGAAGGGAAAAGAGCCCTCTGAACGTCTTTCTGTGATGATCCTAGGCATTGATAGCGTCTCCCATCTGAACTTTCTGCGCCAAATGCCGCACACTGCTGCCTACATCCATAAAAACTTATCGCACGTGGAATTTTGGGGCTTCAACAAGGTGGGCGACAATACATTTCCCAATTTGGTGCCGCTCCTTAGCGGTCTAGATGAACAGGAACTGAATATATCTTGCACTTTACCACTAACCCGGGCGCACTACTACGATCTGTGCTCGTTCATTTGGAAGCGCTTCAAACAGGCCGGCTACAAGACCATCTATGCCGAGGATGTGGCCAGCTTGGGTTTGTTCAATTTCGATCGATCGGGCTTTAAGCGACAGCCCACAGACTACTATTTGCGGCCAATGATGCTCGAGATGGAGAAGCATATAGCCTACGAGCATATGGTGAACGTGGATGTGTGCATGGGTGGACGACGGACGGCAGACGTGCTTCTGGAGTACATTCGAAAATTTTTGCCACGCCTCAAAAGCGAGGCGTTCTTCTCATTCTTCTGGACAGTCACCTTGACCCACGATATGTTGAACACGGCCAACCTGCTGGATAGGGATATTGAGGGATTGTTGCAGTTGATGGATCGCTCGGGTGTATTGAATCGCACCCTGGTGCTGCTGATGTCCGATCATGGACTGCGCTGGGGCTCCTTCCGTTATACGTATCAGGGCATGATGGAGGAACGACAACCGCTGCTAATGGCACTCTATCCACGCTGGCTGCAGACGCTTTATCCGGAGGCGGTTGCCAATCTGCAGCTTAATGCCAAAAGGCTTACCACACACTTCGATTTGCATGCCACAATGCTCCAATTGCTTGACATGAGCAATTTAAATGCCGCGAACTTGCAGCGGCGAGCCGCAGAGTTCCGCGAACCGGACAGCACGCTTCCCCGGGGCATCAGCCTCTTTCTGCCCGTGCCTGTGGAGCGTACCTGCGAGCAGGCGGGTATTGCAGCCCATTGGTGCACGTGTCATCAAAAGCAGGAGATGATGACCAACGATGCTCGTGTACAGCGTGCGGCACGTTATGTGGTGAGGCTCATCAACGATCGACTTCGGGGTCACGCACAATGCCGAACCCTCTATCTGAATTCCATACTGCAGGCCTTTATGGCCGCACCACATCACAAAATAATCAAGGAAGTGACCAATGACTTCTCTGTGGACGTCACACTACGCTTGCAGACCAAACCAGGCCTTGGCGTGTTTGAGTCCACTGTCCGCATGTCCAGCTACGCCGCCACCCTCACCGGCACCATTAGTCGCATCAATCTGTACGGCAGCCAAAGCTATTGCATCAGCGATAATGCACTAAAAATGTTCTGCTATTGCCATCGATAAGACGGATGATCAGTCCAAGACTTAATCCCATACGTAGCCTTAGTTGTGTGTATTATAGCCATAAGTTTAGCCAACTAAACGCATTTGTATTTCTATGAAATATCATAAAACTAACGGAGAAAAAGGAACTTGATAATAGCTCTTCATTATAAAGAGTTTTTGGACATAAGTAGCGGGATATATGTATAGGAATATATCCATTTAAAGTAGGTACTGTTTTTGTTTATTAGTGACAATAATAAATACGAATATATCAAGTCATCCCCAACATATGTAGGAAAAACATAAAAGATCTTTTTCCAAGATTCAACTCGAGCTCAAGATTTGTATTATACAAAATAAAACTGACAAATTAAACGATATTAAGAAGTTAAATGCAATATTGAATAGCAATAGATCTGTGGAACTAGGCAGTCCATTGTACATTGTATTTATATGTAAATCAACTGCTAGTAACAAAAAACAAAACGTAGCATATTTGTAATGGTACGATAAATATAAAAGATTCCAACAAATGTCTATTCTTTTTATAAATATTTGAGGTCCCTAACCAACTTTGCACAACCAATAAAGTGTGCTTCCCGAACTAAGTGGCAGTTGCTAAGCCGACAATGAGAAACGAGTGAGTTGTGCTTCATGGGTCCCGTCAAGATTTTAGAAAAGTGGTCCATTTATGTTGCGTCCTTTACAACGACTTACAAAGCTCACATTTTAGAGATGAGGATAGTCTGCCCAGACAAAAACCGATAGTTCCAATTGAACTCTCCCTCAATATGGGGTCGAATTGCACCTCAATTAAGGAAATTTTCTTTACAGAAATGGTCGATGCCTTTGTTTCTTAACAATTATTAAGAACTAACCTCTTAACAGCTTAGGCTGCTTATTTAGGATTAAATTGTGGTTTGGATATTCAATATACACACGTATTATTTCTACAACCAAAACTTGTAGTTTAGCTAAACGAAGCAAGCCATGCCAACACTTTCAGTTGCTGTTCAGTCATTTCTAAAGTTAATCTAGAGCGAGTATACAAAAAATTCAGCAATTAAAATGATGCTTTTTCAAATAGTTGCCGCAAATCGATGGCGTCTATTCCGTCCATTCTGCCTGGCGGTTATATTCAGCTTCATAATATGCTACTACTACATGGACTACATAATGGATTACGCCGTCTACGAGGAGCATGCCATAACTCAGGGTTTCTTTGTTAATACATCGGGCTGTCATATGGTCGCACTGAATCCAATACCAATAGAGTCGTTAGTTAATGATGAAGAACTGCCATCACTCCAATGCCAGAAGCCTGAACTACTGCATGGTGAAGTTGTGGATGGTCGCAACTATTTGGTTTGGTCCATGACGGAGGACAATATTCGCAGCGTCTTTCAAGTACGCAATGTTTCCGATATCAATTGTTATTATGTTGGTATCAGTCGCTACAGTGATAATAAGAACAATTACGACGATAGGAAGAGCTTCCGATTGAATAGTATGCGTACGAAGCAGCTCCTGGATGAAGATGTCAAGATCGTGCGAGTTGAATGCATTCGAGATGGGAACGAAACTATTTACCATGATGTGCATTTCTTTTTGCCAACAGCAGAAGTAACTGGAGTCCAGGATAAACGCATTTCCGTTATGATTTTGGGAATTGATTCCATCTCACACATGCACTATCTGCGTTCGATGCCACAGTTTCAGAGCTTTATAGAGAATGCGGATCTGCCTCATGTGGAATTTTGGGGCTACAATCGTGTGGGACGCAATTCCTATCCAAATCTGGTGCCGCTGCTTAGTGGAATGTCTGATGCGGAACTGGAGGCCAATTGCAGTAAGAATGGAGACGAGCACTACGATCGCTGTCCCATAATTTGGAAGCAATTCAAAGCAGCGGGTTATTATACTAGTTTGGGGGAGGACCACATCGGCGGTTGCTTTAACTATGTCAAGAAAGGCTTTTATAGTCAACCCACGGACTATATTCTACGACCTGTACTCTTCGAAATGAACCAGAATACACGCTATAGCTGCGATAAGCAAGAGCTCGTTCACTGTAGTGGACATCGCTTGTTCTCCGAAGTGCTCCAGGAATTTATCTTCAAACTGGTGCCACACATGAAGCAGCATCCCTTTTTCTCGTTCTTCTGGCGGGCAATGGGCGTGCACGATTACGCCACATATGCAAAAACGGTGGATATGGAATATGTTAAAATGTTGCGCAGCCTTCAAACACAAGGAATTTTAAATAGATCGCTGATATTGTTCATGTCAGATCACGGGCTGCGATTTACTGGATTTCGCAAAAGCTATCAAGGAATGCAGGAGGAATCCCAGCCTCTACTAATCGCATTTTATCCTAAGTGGTTCGGTACGCTCTACCCCGAAGCCATTATCAATCTGAAGAGAAATGCACATAGTCTGGTCACAACCTTCGACCTACACGAAACCCTTAAAGACATACTTCACCCAAAACAACTACTACGTGAGCAGTTGGTCAAACGCACAGTCGCTTTAAAGTCTCTGGGTCGCAATGCACCACGTGGAGTGAGTCTTTTTCTGCCTATTCCCAAGCAGCGCGACTGCAATATGGCCGGAATACCCACACATTATTGTCTCTGTCACAAACTCAACGAGATCTCCATTGAAGATTCGCGAGCTAAGCGAGCTGCACGCTTTATTGTGCGCAGCCTCAACGCACTGCTCTCTTCCTATCCGCAATGCCATCGGCTGGAGCTAGAACAAGTCCTGGCCGCATATTTGTTGGAACAACCCATGGATCCAAATGCGTACGAGGTTAGGGTGCGCTTAGTAACTGAACCGGGCGGTGGTCTATTTGAGGGAACCACACGATTTTTGGGCTTTAAAGTGGCGCTAGATGGCGTCGTGACACGATCTAATGCATACCGTAACCAATCGTATTGTGTGAATAACTATCGCATAGAGATGTACTGCTATTGTAAGCATTAAAAACTCGTCGTTAGATGCAAGACATGCATAAATCATTTGTTATTTTGAAATGGGAATTTTCTATTACATTTTAAAACAATAGAAGTATCACAGTTCTGGGCCTTACAAAAGCTGTTTGGTATGAATTGTTTATAAATAATATCGATATACAAGCACTTCATAGCGATACTTGATATCGAAGCGGGCAGCTTCGACTGCTGACACTATTGCCAGTTAAGAAAGAGTTTGAAAGTTGGCCAGCAAAGCGGGCCGTCAACAGTCACTCATAATATACATATATTTCATAAAAGTGTGATTTCAATTGGTCATTGGTAGTTGGAATCTTTTCACACCAAAATGGTCTGTGTTCTACCTATCTCAGCCTGGCGTCGCTGCTGCTGCTTCGCGCTCTTTGTCTGTCTACTTATATACGCTTTCATGGATATGATTTTGGACCACTTCTACGAGGAGCGCCACTTAGCTGAGGCCTATTTCGTAAATTCAATTGGTTGCCGCATATTGGCAATGGCGCCGTTCACGTCTCATGTTGTAGAAAACTGGAGTGATCTACCAGAGGATAAATGTCCGGGTATTCCGCTATTCATTGACTACAATGACGATGTGAACAATTACTTGAAAATGAACCACACTATGGTGGAGGAGCTACCCCGCTTTAATCTAAATCTATTAAATCTGGAATGTAAATATAAGGAAATGGTGCGGAATGGTGATTGGGGAAACAAGGTGATTATTCAAAAGGAATTTCTACCCCATCCAAATGTGACGCTGGTTTTTAAATACGACATTGTGTACGTGAGATGTAAAGCTGGAAATATGACAGCCTATAGCAGGGTTCACTATTATCTTAAGAAGCCCAAAAGCGGTACTTTAATTACTCAAAGCACATCAACTAAGGGAATTCCCGAAAATCAATTTAAAACGAGCCGCCCACAGCCGACCCCAGCCCCCACACGTCGGTTGTCCGTTTTGGTTGTTGGAATTGATTCCATTTCACATATGCATTTTTTGCGCTCGATGCCACGAACTAGGACTATATTGCGTTCCCTGCCGCATGTGGAATTCTGGGGCTACCATCGTGTGGGTTTGAACAGTTTTCCCAATCTGATACCGTTTTTTTCTGGCCAAAGCGCGGATGAAGTCACCGCTAACTGTTATAATAAGTTAGGATTTGACGATTGCCATTTTATTTGGAAGGACTTCAAGAATTTTGGTTACCTAACTGCGTTTGGTGAGGATTCTACTAACATTGGGACATTCAATTACTTAAGACTTGGCTTCACACATCAACCCACGGACTATTATCTTAGGCCGGCGATGTTAGCAATGTATGCGAAATCACTTACCCATTTCGATAATGGATATTGCAATGGACAGTTAACATATGCAGAAGAACTTTGGAAATTTCTCAACAAACTATTGCCGCAAATGAAAGTCCAAGACTTTTTCACATTTTTGTGGTGGACTCAAGGCGTCCATGATGTGTTTAATTACGCAAAACTATATGATGGCAAATTCATCGAGATGTTGCAACAACTTAATGCAAGTGGCATATTGGAGCATACGATGGTGATCTTCATGGCCGATCATGGACTCCGGTTTGGCACATTTCGCCAAACCTATCAGGGCATGGTGGAGGAAAACCAACCGGTATTATTTACCTGTTATCCAAAGTGGCTGGAGGAGACCTATCCATTGGCCATGCACAATTTGAAACTGAATGCAAGACGACTGGTGACCACATTCGATCTTCATGCCACTCTCAAGGACATTCTCAATCTGGATAGTCTGTCCGATGAGAATGTACAAAAGCGGATTTTAGACCTAAATGCATTGGGCTCAGATATTCCACGTGGCATCAGCCTCTTCCTGCCCATCCCCGACGAACGTAATTGCACAACTGCCGAAATAGTCGAAAATTTCTGCACTTGCCATAGCCTACGCAAAACCTCCACCAAAGACTCAAACGTGCAGCGTGCGGCACGCTTTATGGTGCGATCAATTAACAATATAATCAAACTTCAGACCATGTGCGAGAAAGTTGTTTTGGATTACGTGCTCAATAGTTATTTTTGGAGTCGCCCGAATGAGGAGCTTGTATATGAAATTAAGTTGAGCATTCAAACAAATCCCGGCATGGCCAGATTTGAAGGTACTGTGCGCTTTTCTGGCTATTCAATTGCAATGGCCGGTCCCATACAACGCATTAACAAATATGGCAATCAATCGTATTGCATTCAAAACTATCTCATAGAAATGTTTTGTTATTGCAAATAAAATTAAATATGTTAATAAAATGATTTATGTGCGAAGAGATGAATAATCTTCTTCCTCCTATGTTAGCAACCAGCTTTGCATGCTTGAAACTTATCTGGTTTCAAAAAATTCAAAAGTAATGCTACGCGGGTAGAGGTGGGATCGTGTCCCTGCACAATCCATTCGATAGTTATCGATTGTTACTTTGCATCCCCCGCCATATTTACACTGCTTTTATTTTAATAACAATGAATTGACATAATAAGTTTATTTCCAATTTAATATTGTTTTGTCTTCTTTTGTTTACAAATAAAACGATATGTGCTTCGAATAAACATCGAATAATCAACTGTCGATAACTTTGTAATGGGCTTGCAAGCTTACTCTTGTTCATCTCTACCATTTCATTCTTATCAGTTGCGTTTTCTTTATGTATAATTTCTTAATTTTTTACCGCAACCACCCACATCCACATAAAGAATGCCACCGACCGAGACACTACGTGCCGGTGGCGGCAGCGAGCGCGAACAGACGTACATCATAAGGCAAAGCAACAAATGCTACGAACATCGCGATTCGCAGGCCACAGCGATGTCAGTTGATTATACCGGACAGTGGGTGTTGCTGGCGGGTCGGGGACATTTTGCATTGCAGCGCTTAGGCCAAGATGATGGTACACTGCGTCGCCACGAGCGCCAATCCAAATACGAGGTGTCCGTGGCCGAGTTCGCCGTATGTCCGAGCAGCAAAGAGTACTGCGCCATAGCCGTAAGTATTTTAGTGAGGCAGGTCAGTGATGGCCCGATTTCTCATTGTTTTTTGTTCGTTTAAAGACTAGCCAGCACATAGACATTGTGCGTTGGGGTCCAGCAGAGCCCTTCTATGAAAACTCGTTACGCGGCCACACACGCACTGTTACCGACATAGACTGGCACGGCAAGAATCCCAATTTGCTCGTCAGTTGCTCCATTGACACGTTCTCACACATTTGGGACTTGCGTGAGCCTCGGAAGCCGGCGCTCTCACTCAACGCCGTTTGCATGTGTAACTATTGCTGTTGGCGCACAACTCGATTGGTAGCGGTTTTTTATGCAGTTACTATTTCTGTTTGCAGCGGGCGCCACCCAAGTGGGCTTCAATCGCGTTTCGGGCAATTTGCTGGCTGCCGCCCATGATGGAGACCTGCGCATTTGGGACATACGCAAGGGCAGTTGTCCAACACATTATATTACTGCGCATTTAAATCGGGTCCACGGCATCAATTGGAGTCATCGACGGGAGACTTGTCTGGCCACAGCCAGCCAGGATGGCACCGTCAAGTATTTCGATGTGTGCAATCCACGGCGAGCGGAAAAGATCATAACGACGCTATCGCCGGTGTGGCGGGCACGCTATACGGTGAGTGTTAAACTCATTTCGAGAACAAAATAACTAATTAGCCGTTCCACAGCCGATTGGAAATGGTTTGGTTAGCATTGTGGTGCCGCATTTGGGTCGTGGCGAGAACAGCTTGCTGCTTTGGAGCAATAGCAAGCAAACGGATCCAATTTGCAGCTTTGTGGGACATACGGATGTTATTCTGGACTTTGCCTGGCGACCAAATCGGGAAAACTTCTCCGAAATTGTAAGTACTGAAAAATTTAATTCGGCTTGCATAGATGAATATGTTTACCAATCTTGTTGGTGATTCGCAAAACGATATATTGATGCTAATCTTGTTGTCTATTTTAGGAGCTAGTGACCTGGTCACGTGATCGTACGCTGCGCGTTTGGAAAATTGACGACACTATGTTGAAACTTTGCGAACCATCGGCCGATGAGGACGAGGAGACACGCTACGATGATGTGCCTGATTTGCCGGCCACAACACCGCCGGAATATCTCTGCCCTCTGCCTCCGCGCAATGGTTCACTTCAGGCACCAACAATCCTGCAACCAGATCTGTATCCCCGTGTTGCTGCCTCGCTACCCATTGCCACAGGCGATATGTCCGCATTGCCGCTGGCGCGTTCGCCTACAACACCGCATTACAGCTTTCCACGCAAGGACGATCTGCATATCGCCCGCTCGCTGACAGATCAGCCCACCTGTTCGCTTCACCATGAGTTCTCGCTGCTAAACACAAACATGCCGCATGTAGAGGTCGATATACTGGATGCCATAAAGCGTTACGCTTGCTTCAAGATCTATGCAGGCGGCCACACAGTTGTACTGCAAGTCACCTTTCCCACATCTTATCCAAGTCCAAACGTAACGCCCGATTTTCAATTGTGTCAGGGCACCACGTTGTCCAGCGACGTGATTGCAATACTCTTGAAGGTGCTGCGCACAAATTCGTTGCAGCGTGTGAAAAAATCACGCACCTGTCTGGAACAATGTCTGCGCGCCCTGGTGGTGGCCATGAAGAAGAGCATCAGCAGTGGCGGAGGCGGCAGCGGAGCGGACAAGTGTCAGCTGCATTTGCAATCGCCCCGACTGGATGGCGCGCTAAGCAGCGCTCTTCACGATGCCTGCATACCCTTTCCACGCACCTCGGGTGTGCATTTCAATGCCGTTGGCATGTTGACCACCTTCGCGCAGGTGTTGAACAGCAAACGACTGACGTTGCGTCATCATCAGGCCTACACGCCGCGCACGTTGTCGGCCATCAATGGCAGCGGGCTGCTGGGCAATGTGATGGGTCCACAGCCGGTGTTATATCCACAACGAGATGCCAATGCCTCGCTGTATTTGCAGGAGCGTATGATTACAGGAAAACCGGGCAAAAATCGGGCAATGCAAAAGGCTGCGGGCAGCAGTCCCAGCACGCCTGTAGTGCACATCTACGATGCGAGCCGTTTGCTGCATTTGAACCGGCAAATGGCCATAGAACTGTCTCTGGACAAACAAGACATTGCCCAGACCTGTCGTCAAAATGGTGAAGTGTGCGCCAAGTACGAGCGATATGACTTGGTGCCGATTTGGCTACTGGCCGAGCTCATTGCCACGCCGCATGTCCCGGACGAAAACAAGTACGAGCTCCTCTTCTACAAGGATCCCTTCAAGAAATACCTGCTGGAATCTCTGATTATGCACTATGCCACTGCTGGGGATGTGCAAACCGCTGTGTTGCTCGCCTGCCTCTTCGACAAATGTCCCAGCGGACTGGACAGCCTGGACAAGGACAGTTTGCTCAATTATCCGGGCAAGCTGCCGCCTCAACTGACATCACAATTATCGCCTTATCACACTGTGGTACCCTTAGACTTTAAGTCCTCGGCACAGGTGCGCTCTGTTAGTGGCACGTGGCAACAATTAAAACAGCTGCGCAGCAATTCCTGGTCCGATTCGCTGGACTGGGTGGATGTGAAGCTTTTCCAAGCCGATGCCTATGCCTGTTCGCTGATACGCCGCACCAAAATGCCGCTTTTTGATCAGTTCAAACGCGTCTACGCCGATGTTCTCTTCTGCTGGCAGTTGCTCTCCAAACGAGCGCTCATCTTGAAGCACACGTTGTACACACCGCCGCCGGCCCAGGGTGTTGAATTTGTGACCGAATGCACCGGCTGTGCTAAGCCGAAACGCACACCCAAATGTGAGCCCTGCAAGCGTCCTGTCCTCTATTGCACCCTCTGCTGTCTTCCTGTGACGGGAGAGGCAAATGCGTGCCTTGCCTGCGGACATGGCGGCCACATACAGCACATGCTCCAATGGTTTGAGGTGAGCTCCGCATTTCACAGTCTTAAATTATATAGCTAGGACGATTTTTGCGTTTGCAGAACATATATGTAAATAAAAATACAAATTTTCCACTAAACAACTTCTCTTTGTTTGCAGAATCATAACGTCTGTGCCACGGGCTGTGGCTGCCAATGTCTACAACGCACGAGCGAACTGCTGGAACACATCTACTGACCTGAAGCTGAACTTGTGGCGATTCATTTAACATTGCACATAACTTTTTTGACGCTGTGGAAATCAAAATACATGTTAAACAACTGTTTTTTAATCTTAAGATGAAAGTTTTGTACTATATATTTACATACGACAAATACATTTGGCTAAATGGAAACAAGAATATAAATGCAAGAGACTTCTCCATAAATAATAAAAAGTAAAGTAAATCTCAAATTGTGAGCCATTTCTTTAAATACAATGGCTAATTTAATCATTGTATTAAAATTAAATAGTAGATTAGATAGATGAGATGTTTGGGGGTGTTAAAAAGTAGAAAGTACAAAACTTTAAAGTGTTATTATAACATCGACACTTTTGAGATATAAGAGTATAAATCTGATTTTAAAGACTTTGGCAGGTAAATTTTTTAATAACTCTAGGATTTTAAAAGATAAGTACTTAAGTATATACAAATTATAAAATGAATTTATAGTGTTATAAAGCTAACAGCACTATTAATATTAAACGCATTAACAAATAAGACCAATTAGTTGCTAAAATGAGTTCGTTCAGCAAAGGAAAATTCTGTTTCCATAGAGTTTTACTAGAAATTAATATAGTTGTATAAGTAGAATTAGAAATATAGAGGGCAACTGTCAGGGGGAAGACAATGAAAAAAACCAGATGAAATTTATTTAGAACAAGGACGGGATCGGCGGGACTGCAGGTCAACTTTTAAATAACTCTAAAATTTGTAGAATTCTTTTGGAAATGTTAGAAATCTCTATAGTTATGTGGATGGGAAATGAAACAAATTCTTTCATTTTCACGTACATTATATGATTTTTATTATTATCTTTTTAATATTGGCTTAATTAGCTTAATATATAAGTTTTCTTACTATAATTTTGCCATCATATGTGTGTTTAACATTATCGAGTTTAGTTTGCATTGAAAATTTGTTTATAAAATCAAAATATAGCTCTATTTTTCGTCTTCTTCATCAAAGCGCCATTTTAAATAAAAAGTAAATAGCAAGACGGTTCATAATCGAGAAGGAACATTTAAAAAATAAGACTTATTGCAGTTGAAAAATCACGCAAGTGAATTCATGCTCTATAAATCGGAACGCGAATCACTTTTTGAAAAACACAATATACAAATACAAAATGAGAATCGTCTTTTAAATTTAAAATAGCAAGATATACTAAAGACAATAAAGCACGCACAATCAAAAATCGTTACATTTAAAAAGGAAACTTTGAACTTAAAAGCATAAAAATGAAGTGTAGAAAATATGTTTATCGAGTAAAAATCGTGTCTGTGGGAGGACTAACTAGGTGTGGTTGTGTGTATTATGTGTGTGTGTTTGTGTGTGCGGTCAATACCAGCCGCTTTTGTCGTGTTGGGTGGCATAGTTAACGCTACCAATACCGATATATCATTTCAACTGATCACGATACGTCATAATGGTCTTCATCAGCAAACGCACATTGCTGCATTGCGTACTCTTCGGACAATTCTTGATGAACAGCTGACAATTACGATAGAGTTCGGAAAGCACTTTCGGAGCATGCTCGCGCGTTATAAGATCCGACATATTGATGGCCAGCAGCGCATCGCTGAGGTAACTGCAGAAACAAAACAATTAATCAACTGACTAATAAGGTGGAGTATATAGCGCCGATCTACCTCTGTTTAAGCTCATTGTGATTACTCATATCCGCCGATATTTGCTGTATCAAGCTGAGCAGCACCTTCTGCTCGAGCCTGCAGCCGTCGGGCCCAAAGGCTTGAGTAGGATCGGTGTTGCGCAATGTAAATTCAACTAAATTCAAATCGTTGGCCAACAATGCTTGATGGAAGGCCCTATTGATCTGGCCCGATAGCAGCAACTGCTTAATGCTATCGCGCAAATCGTAAGTGGGTGCGGGTGTGGCTGCCTGTGATCGCAATGCGATGTTTTGGGTCTCGTAAAACTTGCGCAACTAAAAGCAGATACGAATTGCGTAGATAAACTTATTAGTTATACATGCATATCCAGAATTTACTCACCTCAGCGCGTAGGGTCTCCTGTACTTGTCGTGCCAATAAAATTTCTAGGCTCTTCACCTCACGCTGTGTCTCCAGCATTGCATCGGTTAATGCCGAACGATTCTTATTCAAATGGGTCTCAATTTGCTGCCGGAATATGCTCAGTTTGTTGTGCAAATCCTCCGAATTCTCGCCAGAGTGCGGTATATGCTGTAGATAAGCATTGAACTGCACCATAACTGAAAATGAAAACATATTTATATGTATATGAGCAAATGATGGCTCTAACTGTTAACTATAATATAAGCATATTTATTTTATTATATTGTTTTCTATATTGGCAATTAATTGATACTTACAGTCCTTAATTCCCACGGAAAAGGCATCGTGTAACTGCTTAAACATATTCTGTGAGGACTTCTCATAGGCCGGTATCAGAGTGCTGCTCATCGATTCAATAAATGCCGTTTGTAGGCTCGCCTGCACTCCAATTAAAACGGACTTGCCAAAGGCATCCAGGAATTGCTACAGAGATCGCACATTCAATCAGAATATCAATTGCCATTACATCTTATATTTATCTTAAGCCTTACCTTGCTCTTGCACACCTGTGCGATATTCTCCTTGACGGTCTTATCGAATACGCTAAGTTTCTGCACAATTTCCACCTGCATTTGATTCTGTAACTGATCCATTTTGGCGTTGACGCGTGGCAGCAAATGACGCTGCAGCTCCATGTTGAGAACATTGCCAATAATGTCGGTGAAGTGATTCATGACATACTGATTTAAAACCTGTATGACAGTTTCGCGCAACTCACGATTCTGATTCTCGCTGCAAGTGGGGAATATAGATGGAAATTTGTGAGTGATAGATTCAATCAAATTGATCACAGAGTTGTGCTATTTTCTAAAATGCTGTTAAGAATTTATTTAGAAAGTAATTGGTTTTGATTGGTTTTTATAGAAACTAGAATAGATTCGTGAAATATTAACAACAAGTTTGAACAGTATTTTGAAATTACTTACCGTGCCGCCAAGAATTCGGTCAGTTTCTTCTTGTGCTCGTTCTCGTATCGCTTCAGATATTGCTCCATTAGCTTAGATAATTGCATTTCAATTTTATAGGCCAATTCATTTATGCTTTTCGGTTGCATGGCAGCGGCATTATTTTTCTGTGGCTGCTGCATCTGTAGTTTGTTGAGCTCGTGCTCCATTTTGTTAATCTGCTGCGACTGCGCCTTGACCAAGTCTGCAAATAAAGACCATTTTATCAATATTCTTAAGGCTTCTTGTTTCTTTTCAAAAACGCTCACCCATTAATTGTTCCAGCTTTGAATTCAGTTCTATATTCGAAATGTCATTGTTGCTGCCGCTGTTGTTGTTGTTGCTGCAGCTGCTGCTGTTCATGTTGACGGTTGAATTATTGTTGCTGCCACCACCGCCCAACGTGGGCGGCATGTTGCCATTGTTTTTATGCTGTGCTCCAGATGCGTGCACCGCCTGCGACATAATGTTGGCGGCGTTTTGCAGCTCCGCGGACTTCTTTACCGGTACCAGTTTGGGTGCGGGAGCGTCCTGCAGCCATTTAGAGACATTGGGTTTCACATCATCGTCTTCGTCTAGGGATGAGGATGAGTCGTCCTCCTGGATTTTCTGTAGTTCCGCGTCTAAAATATCATCGTCCTCCTGTGTGGCCATTATCTCTTGCACCTCACGACTTGGACTTGAACCGCCACTGGCAATATTCTCGGCAGCATTACGCTCTGGATTGCGATCAATGGCTATGAACTTTTTGCGGGCATCCAAAGATTCCTTCAGCTTTTGTTGATCCTCGATGAGCGTGTTGTTCATAAGATTCAGGAGATTCGGATTATCTGAACCCTGTCCTGTAACCGTGGCGAGCATGCGCAACGTGTTGAGGACCTGTGAGTTTACATTCTCCGAAGCCGCACTGGCTTCAGTGCCACTGGGATTGTTACTAGTGGTCGTCAAAGACGCGGCAGCTGCAATCACAGACGTACTGCTGGAGCTGAAAGCGTCGGGTGTCATGAGGTTCAATTGGGGATAACCGCTGGCATATTGTGGCGAAGCGGAACGCGATTTGTTCGAGACTTGTGGCTCCTGGACCACCGCGGAAGGTTCGGAGGCGATTGCCACAGCTACGGCCTGCTGTACTTTAGCGAAGAGCGCATCGAGTGGGACGTTGGTGGTGGTCGTGGTCGCTGTGTTGCTTGTGTTTGCTGTTCCGCTGCTGTTGTTGCTGTTCGGCGAGCTGAGTGGCTCCTGTTTAATATCTTTCAGGTGTATGAGCAGCGCATCGTCCGGGGTCTCTGAGCGCTTGATGGACTTGTTGCTGGTGTTGTTGCTATTGCTGCTATTTAGGCTGCGCTCCGACTTATCCGCCACGCAAGGCTGATAGATGATTTGGCATTCCTGTAGACTTTTCATTTGCACCACAAACATGTGCACGACCAGTGCATGGGTAGCCGTGGTATCGTCATCATAATCATCCGGCTCATCAAAGGGATAATAGCTTTCATTGGTGCTCTTCAATCGCCGCATGCTGGCATCCACAATCGAGAAAGACAAAATGCCAGAGCTTAGCTTAAACTCGGCAATGTTCTCGATGCGTACTGTGCTTTCCTCAGCGCTGCTGCTGCTCTCACTGTCGCTGCCCGTACTATCGTTACTGCTGCAGATGCTGTTGTTGTTGATTTGCATGACAAACACCGACAACGAATCTAAGCTGGACAATACCAAATAGCTGGCACTGCGATCAATTCCTGCTATAAATTCTGGCTGCTGTACCGTTGGCACAATGTTAATTGTTTGCAGGCATTTCCACAGTGTACAGTTCCACAATTTTATCTCTGTGTTGTTGTCACTGGTCGTGATCACATGTTGCCAGTAGGAGCTACAGTAAGAAATGCATTATATACATTTATTACGTTTACATGGGTATCTTTAACTTACTCCTCAACCGGCTTATTTATGTTGTCCAAGAAGAACAGCGAGTTGACGATTTTGCCATCGTGTGGCTTCCATTCGTGCAGGCAACGATGATTGCGCACATCGAATAGATATATTTGATAGAAACGCACCACACCATCAGCGCAGGCAGCCGCCACAGTGGTACCATCTGGGGACAAAGCTGCGCAGGTAATCAGAGAATCTTCCTCAATCTTTAGATAGCCTGTATCCAGTTCGTCAGGTTGTATTTTGCCACACTGTGTATTGAACGAAAAATAATTACATTTTAAAAAGTGATTAAAGAGAATTATATGAGATGAATTTCCCATTTAATTGTTTTGTAGTTTTCCGTTATTTCTGGAAATATTTCTATCAATATTTAAAATGTGAGTTCAGTCGAAAAGCTTTTGATTATAACTAAAAGAACTGATTGCAAAATAATTCATTCTCTTCCTCACTACTAACTTTATAGTATTTTGAAATAATTAAGATTAGATCTCATCTAGATTTCGTCTAATGCCTAAGCACCTTGCAGCGCTCCGGATGATTCATAAATGTCTTATTAACAACTGAGTACATAAGACAATAAATACAATCTACAATACTTTCTGTGGAAAAAGAAAATCTGCCTTTCGAATGAAGGGAATGGAAAGTAATTATTTCAAATGTTATGCCTCAAAACTTACTCCATTTTCGGTGACAATCATCTTAACATGGAAGCATTGAAACTGCGAATTGCGTGACCAAATTAATAGTTGATTCTCATCCTCATCCTCCTGGCCAGCACTGCTGCCGCTGATGACATATGGGCACCAAGAGACCATGTCATAACGTGGCACATAATCGGCTATAGGATCCTCCACTTTCAGCACAAGATTGCACGCCAAAATGCTATCAATTAGATCGACTCTGTAGACAAACAAAGAGTTCACATCGATAACTGCCAGTATCCGCTCCCGATCGGTGTGTGCGAACTGCAAATCGAGCACCTCGCCACTCATTCCTTTAATGAGAGCGCGCAGACTGGCGTTTAGATTGCAGACACGCACCATCCCCTCCATACCAGTGGCTTTGTTGTTGACTGCAAATAAATTGACAAGCTTATCAATTAAAAGCAGTTATGATTTCATAACTATTTACCATTAATGGCATAAGCCAAATGTTTGCCATCACGATGCACGGCCACCAGATGACCTGGATAGTAATATTTGCGCTCCCATTTGTAGTCCACAATATTCTTTAGCTTAACCTTAGACGAACCACGACAGTGATTGCTGGGACAGGTGTAGACCTTAGTCCGATTGGTTTTGAAGCTGCGGCAGCACTGCTTCTCGTGCGCCTTAAAAGCACTACAAATCCAATAAGAAATAATAGCAGCTTGATCTTATAACTAAATGCGGTTACTTACACAATCTCCACATCTTGTCCTAAAACCGACTTTTTGCCATTGGCAGCGCCGGCTACGGCACTGGCCTGATCCTGTTCAGTGATGCTGCTCATATTGCTGCGGGTAGTTGCTGTTGTTGTTGTTGTCTTCTGCAAATCACTATGGCCTGTTAGAACCGTTAAGTAACTGGCACGAGCTGCTGTTTCTGGTACCTCGACTGCTAGCGTACTCGCGTGCTTTGTTTCTCTGCCACACCTTGATGTTGGTACAGGTGACGACGATGATGGCGTCTTGCGGAAGATTTGTAACTGTGCGAGCGCAAAAAGCGCGATTAACATTGACACATACACTCACTGTCCATTCGGGAAAAGAACGACGTTTGTTTACACTATATTCAGCAATAATCTACATATGCCATTGTATAAACTAACCTGCACTCGAGCAGTTCTTTTTCTGCTACTGCTTGCTTGTGTGCGTGTGGGTTATTGAAAATGATCGCGTCTCACGCAAATCTGAAGACGTGCTAACTGAAATTACATATGTTACGCACGTCTACACCAATTTGTTGGATCTTATTACACTTATTAACAACAATTGGACGACATTTAAGCAAACTAGTACTGCGAAAATTTGCCCAATGCCGCAAAACGTTAGCGTTGTGCAGCGGCGTCTAGTCCGTGTGCAATCGATAAAATGCGGTACGTCATTTATCGGTAGAAAAAAGGTGCAACATTGATGGAGACGAGCTAGAACAAAATTAGTAAACACTGCATAAAGCAGCGCGATGGTAATTTGAAAAGAGGTGTTTTTGCTTTATATAGCGCACATTTATTGCGATTTGCCTTTTTAACATCAACTTAGTACATATATCTTTCTTTATAATATACACATATATTTGTCGAAACAATACATTCCTTACGCTTCACTGTAATAATGCTTTTACATAGTGTTCAATATCACTTTTTATTATAAACTGAATGCTGTTAATGGTTTTTAGTAAATCTTTGTAAGTGTTCAACAAGTTGAAGTTTTGTTTTATTATTGACAAAAAATAATAATAATAGTAATAATAATCTTTTCGCATAATCTAGTAAGGTAGTATAATATGTACCTAGCTCTTTAAGACTTGTTTTCTTCAGTTTTACTCAATATATGGTGCACAAAACGTATAATTAATAATATAAAGGTATATATATTTATATATGCTAGTATATCTGATAAATTCGAAGTTAGCATATGTGTGGTCCGGTAAATCATATATTCTTTTTCCTATTTTCATATTTTTTGAAATATATAGATGTAAGTCTAAAAGAGCAAAGAGTTTTTTGTAAATGTACATAATATCAATGTAAAAGTAGAAAATAGTTGTTTTTCGAAAACCTAAGCTAAGCTTTCAAGGAAATAAGATTTGTATGAATTCTGTTTACATAATTTCATTACTTAATGCTTTAAGCCTGGCTTACTTGACCTGTGTGTATTTGTGTGTTATAATTGTTATTAATTATTAGTTACTATAGTAAATTTTTAATATATTCATTATAATTTTTCATTGCCGGAATGAATGCGGGGAAAAACGGTTTTGCTTCTTTTTGTTTAGTTGAAATGAATTTAATAAATAAGTAAGAGTTAATTTAGCTTATAAATGTTTAAGTATGTGCAACAGTTTACAGTGTTAAGTTAACTAAAATGCAATGAGAGCATAAAATGTGTTTTTTTAAAGCAATTTAAATATGACAACTTTTTTTTACAAGTGTATTTCACAGGCAACATTTTAAAAGTTAATGTCCATCTTTTTACATGACTTTTTGGGAAATTTGATGTGTTACTAAGCTTAACTACTGAATATACTATATATATTTAAATTTTGTTTACTGATTTTATTGCTGCTGCAAGCGTTTAACAATTTGTAGCAACTAGCGCTTCATTGATTGGATGCTAAGTTTAAATACATAAGTAGTTTCGATTTGCGTAAATATCTATAGAGGCGACTTTATTGTTATTGTTGTATGATTTGTTTATTGTTGTTGTTTGATTCAACTAGCCTACAGTAAAAATAGCAAAGAATTGGCAACTGAAATTCAGCTCTGCAAGACAAAAAAAAAGCATATACAAGATATAACGCATATTTAACAACATAGTGCTATGTTTAAAACTTGTGCATGCAACAAAGGGAGTTCTGTTTTTTCTTTTAACAATTTCAATGTGGCTTAAACATTTGTATAAGAGGGTCCGGGTCCGCCCGATCCAGAGGAGCCGCCTGTCACATTAGCCGTCACTGGTGCCGATATTGAAGACACAGTTCGTGACGCAGCGCCTCCGGAATCGATGGCGGCGGCAGCAGCCTCCAGCTTTAGACGCATCTCCTCCTTGCGCGTCTGCACGCTCAGAAGCTCATCGCTGAGATCATTACAGAGATGGAGCAGCGAGTTGTTCTGCTCGCGCAGTCGATGAAGCAGCTCTGTGGTAGTCGTTTGATTTTGCTTGAAGGAGACATGACGGAGCGAATCACTGATGGCCGTCACTCGCTTCTCAAAATTATCCGCACTGGGTAGCTGTGAGATGGCTGTGGCGCCCAATGCGCCGAAGGGCGCCGGTGGTGGTGGCTGCGTCGGCGGCACAGGCGGCGGCGACTGCGAGTTGCGCGGCGTATTCGGCTTGCGATAGACCTCGAAGGCGGAGACGCGCTGCTGCGTTTGCAACGAGATGCGTGTGGGTGGCGCCACAGTGGCAGCTGCGTTCGAGTTGTGTGGCGGCGGTGCTGCAGGAGGCAGCGAATGCTGCTGCTGCTCTGCCACATTGGTGCTCCCCTCCAGCTGAAATTTAATCAACACACAATTCATCATCATCAAAAATTTCCATATCTTGCATTCCAATTAAATTTGTAATTTTGCGTTCACATTTTTGCATGCACATTTATTGGCCAATCGGTTTATTGTTTATTGTTTTTTAAGTTGCTTTACACTTACAACATTCCCAGCCGCTGGACCGCTGTCGTCGGCAAACTGCGTGAAATCGGCAAAACCAATTGAAGTTTGCATATCGAAACTGGCTTGTGCGGTTATCTTTACATTGATTGATTGACACATTGATTAGACATTGGTTGGGTTTATTTCACAACGAGGAGACACAAATTAATACAAAATTACATACATCAAAAAAATTAAAGACGTGCATACAAAGAACAATTCTCATACATTTAAAATAATGGGTTTTATTGCTTCGTTCTTTTAGAATAAGCATAGAAATTTATGGCGGCAGCGTTAACTTAATCGGAAATTTGAGAGCCACCATATGATTGTTTTTTACAAGAATAGACGCAGATCGGAAATTTGAGTCATTTTTGCTTTCGTAACTTGCTATTAAATCTTATATTTATTCAAAATATGATGGCTCACATTTATAGGTTATGATTTCTTAAACAAAAAACCTTATCTATCTGGATTGCTTTATACCCTGATAAACCACAATACCACGTAATTGCTTTGACATTCATTAGAAATAGCCTCGCTTGTAACGCCTCTAAAGTAACTTGTGCTCAAAATATTTGTCTGTCTGATCAACTGACATAAAGATATTATATTTGTATTGTTATACTCAAAACAATCCACGATTCTTGTTAATAACTCATATTTGTCTAAAAAACGTTCTTATAATAAAGTAACCACATGCTTTATTTACATAGCTATTACAATTATAAATGAATAAACATTTGCCACTCACCTCAGCCTGTTGTGTACCTGTTGCGCCCATTTTGAATTTGTTTAGATCCAAACTACTGCTCCGCGCATGCCGATGTGGACGCGGTGGCGGCAATGGGGGCGGCTCCTTTTTGGCATAACCGACATTGGTCGGCATCGGTTCGAACATCGGCGCCTCAGTCATAACCACATTGTTTCCCACGCTCGACTCTCGCTGTGGAGGCGGCGGCAGAGCGCCAATATTCTTGGCCGGCAACTTCTTTGCTTGGGGACGTTGAATAGCACGCAGATCGCTGTTCTGTATTGAATCGCGATGTATACTGTTGGATGATTGTAGAGCCGCTTGATTGTTGGCGATTGACGCTGATGCTGTCGTTGTGGAAGCAACAATAGGCTTAGGACTGGTGTCGCGCACAGCTCCAACGCTACTCTCGTTGTTGTTGTCATTCGTGGCGTGAGAATTTGAACCATCGGCGACGTTTGAGAGGGCGGTGCCTGTTACAATTAAAATGGTTTATTAGATAATTGCATTGAATGCTATTTTAGAAATCCACAATAACTTTTATAAAGAACTGTGCATGTAACATATTATTATTAACAAGGAACTTAAATATTTCACAGAATTATTAAGGATTAGGTTACAGCTATAATTACAAACTATGGGGAGACTTACCAATAGGTGTTACACGCAATGGCACTGGATGCAATATTTGGGGATTGGAGCCAACATCTTGTGCTGTGCGTTTCATATCGAAGAGCACTGGTTTGAGACCAGGACTAGAGATGGCTGGCGCGTTGGCTGCAGCTGCTCCTCCAACTGCTGCTGTGGTTGTTGTTGTGGCGGCAGCCACCACCGCCCCGCTATTATTGATGGTTGTGGGAGATTCACTGAATTTTGTCCATTGACTGGAGCTCTGACTTGCATCGCCGACAGCGGCAGTGGAAGAGGAATTAGACGCAGTAGCTGTTCCAGCAGAGGCGACAGCCGTAGAGTTCCAGATTTTGTCTTTGCCAGTTACGGGCAGTGTTGGTGTTGTTGTTGCTGCCGCCGCTGTTATTATTTTGTCGGTTTTGTCCGGCCCGTTGGGTGAGCTGGAAATACTGCGATTTTTCACAGCCGGTGGCGTCACATCTCGACGCGAACTATTGCTAGCCTGCGAGGATGTGGAAATGCTGCTCAGATTCATAATATTCTTATCGTTGGGCACCACAACAGGCCTTGCCTTGGCACTACCACCACTAATGTTGGCCGCAATAATTGTATTGTCCGTATGTTCGTCCTCGTCGTCGTCATTCAAATGCAGGAGATCAGCCTCGGGTGGCTCTTGAGGTATGTGCTGATGGGCCAATTGTCCCTGCGCCTGCAACACATTCGGATGCAAACAGTGCGGCAAGCTGGTGGGCAACGGAATGTTATTGCGACGCAGCACCACCAAATGCATGGCAGCTGTAAATTCGGAAAGACTCAAAGCACCATCGCGTGTCACATCGCAGAGCTGCCAAATGTGACGGAGCTCGTCGACAGGAATGCGGCTCTTCTCAAAGAAGATGCTAAACGAAATTTAATTAGATTTAAAGTTAAAGCATCTCGTAGAAGACTTACCGTGCCGCCTGACCGGATAGCAGTCCATGAGGATCTCTTTGCACCGCCTTGAACTGTTTGTAGTAATATTCGCGTTGCTCGGGCGTTATCTGATACAAGGTAACCAGCTCGTTTTCATTGTCGTCCTCATCGCTGCTGTGTCGATCCGAAGATTCCTCTTCCGTGCCCAGTAGCTGACGATGCTCATCACCGAGCAAGCCCTGCCAGAGTGCTTCCTGTGCCCAAGGACGCTCAGCCACGCTGTTGGTAGGTGTGGGACTGTCGCTGTTTGTACTCCAAGCTTCCGGTGATGTTGCGCCGCGTCGTCGCTGTTGCGTAAACAAATTAACATGTTTGCATAAAGCTTATACGGGTAGAGCGTGTTAAAAATGTAGAGATAAGATACGAACCGTTTCACGGCTGCTGGTGCTGGAGACAAGCGCACTGCCTCCGCCGCTGCCAGGTACGCCCACAACCTCGTCAAATTCACCACCACAGCTAGATTCGTTTTGCTCTACCTCTGAATCGGTGCTAGGCACATCAGAGGTGTCGTGTTGCTGATCCTGCTGCTGCTGTTGTGAATTGCGACGCACTGCATCCGCACGACGTTGCAATGAATTGCGTCGATCTGTGGGCGGTGGCGGTGGCAGCGCACTCAAACCATTTTCACAGGCCGTCGTTGTCGCCGTTAAAGTCGTTGTCGTTGGCACCTCTTTCCAGCTAAAATGCGGCAATGGCAATTGCACAGTAGCCGCAATCAGTTCCTGACGCAGAGGCATGGCTGCCTGATGAGCGGCAATCAGCTTTAGGCATGAGTAGAACTGGGCACGTGAAATGTGCAGCGCGGCCGAGGGAATGCCAGCTAATGCTGTGATCTGAAACACACATAAATATACGTATATACATATATATATATTTTTAATTAGCAGAGACGATCGTTGAGGCGCGACCTACCTCAATCACCGCCTCGTTCGCAATGTCGGCCGAGCGAAAGAGCTCCGTAGCTTTCAGCATGGGCACCTTGCCGGTTTTCTCCACATCGCAACAGAGGAACAGTTCACTGTAGAAACGTGTCTCGGGCTCTGTGAGCGTTACTTCTTCCATGCTACTTGTTGCTGTTGCGGCTGCTGTTGTTGCTGTTGCCAAGCCAGCGTCACCACTTTAATGCAAAACGTAGCCACGCCCGTTCCTTGCCTTGTCTTGCGTTGATCTATTTGTTTATTTGTCTGCTTAACCAAACAACTGACTGCTTAACAGCTTTACGCACTGCACACCGCTGCCCACCGCTTAGCTGGTTTATCGTCTCGCGTTGTTGTTTAGCTGTGCCAAAGAAAAAAAACCAATAAGTCAACTCCACTTCAGCACTTTGGCAGCTGTAAAACAGCCATTTTCGAAACGCTGCCAAAAAATATCACCTATTTGCATACGCACATTCAAGTACACACCCACACAAACAGCTTAAGCGCTGGATGTTTAATTGGTCTTTGTTTAATTGCACGGTTTCAATCAATACAACTTTAAGAATTTTCTGCAAGCTGCAGAGTTTTGCACTGCTGGCATTTTTAGCGTATTTCCGTACATTTTCTGTTTGCAATGTACACACTGGCGCGGATGGTCATCGAAATTAGCTGCAATCGATAGCAGTGTTGACATCGACAGCTGCTTCAAATTTGTTATTGTGTGGACGTTCTTTTTTGTAACGCAATTAAACGCAATTGAAATAAATAGACCTAAATATTTAAGCTGAAATGTTTGCACGGAAGAAGGCCGAGCCACCCAAGCGTAGACAACATGATATTTCAAAGGTCAGTATAAGAACAAAGCAAAAACTGCCATTGTATATTTATTTATTTATGAGTCATATCCTTCCCTTCCTCTCCACCCGCCATTTGCAGTTCGGATTAATGGAAATACCGGATGACTTTGATCCAACCGCTGGCTACGGTGACGATGATGCTGGGGATAGTGATTTAGAAGCCGAACTAGCAGCAATTGCTGGTGGAGGGGGATCTTCAAGGCCCAAACAAAAACCCAAACCACAGCTATTGCCAAACAACGAATTAGATAAAATGATTGCCGACAGTTTGCGTGATGTCAGCGACGATGACGACGACGAAGAACTGGAGAATGATAGTGAATTGCTGGGCGAATTGCACGGCATTTCGGGAGTAGAAGAGGACATGCCAGAGGAGGAGGCGCCACCAGCTGAATTTCTGCCTACAAGCACAGTCGATACTCTAAGCATTATTAAACAGCGCCTGGAAATGTACAAGCAGGCGGAGGCCCATGCCAAGGCTGCGGGTGAATCTGCCAAAGCGCGCCGATTTGGCCGTGGGCTGAAAACGTTGCAAGATTTGCACAAACAAGCTGTGGCAGGGAAAGTCGTCAATGTAGATGACATACCACCCGAGGTTAGTGTGAAGCCAGCCGACGGCGCGGATGTGACTGCACCAGCAGGTGCGGAGCCTTCACAGCCAATACGTGCTGCACCAGCGCCGCCCACGCCCAGCCCACCAGCTGCTGTAGAAGAGAAAACTGTTTCCACACCCACGCCGCCAGCCACGCCTGCTAATCCGCTTGTAGCTGAAATGCGCAGCCGCCAAGCGGAGTACAAGGCGGCGGCGCTGGAGGCTAAACGCAGTGGCGACATTCCAACTGCTTTGCAGTTCCTCAAGGTAGTTAAACAGTTCGATGTGGTCGTGAAAATGTGCGAGGAGGGGCAGGAGGTGGATCTCAGTGATATGCCGCCACCGCCAGCCGAATTCCTAGCATTTATGGCGAAAATGCAAGGTGGCGAGGGCGCAGCAGCAGCACCTGAGGAAACGCCAGCCGCAACCCCTGTTGCTGCACCAGCAACGCCACCACCAGCAGCAGCAGACACCAGCACGCCTACAAACATGCTGGAAGCATTGCAGCAGCGCTTGGACAAATATAAATCCGTGGAAGCTGCCGCCAAAGCGGAAAGCAACACCAGCAAGGCACGTCGCTTTGGTCGCATTGTAAAACAATATGAGGATGCTGTAAAACTATATAAGGCAGGCAAACCCGTACCATACGATGAGCTACCTGTGCCACCGGGCTTTGGGCCGCTGCCTATTGGAGATGCGGCGCCAGGACCCGCAGCCACGCCGTCAGCATCATTGCCAACTTCGCCCACATCACCAAGCGGCACAGCGAGCACTTCGGCCGGACCTAGTACACCCACAGGTGGAACACCTGTTCCAGCACAACGCAAGGCTCCTACTCCTCCGCAGCCACACGATCTGACTACACGCACCTCTGGCAATCAGCAAAAGAATAATCTAGCCGAGCAACAAATGAAACTGCTGCTAGAACGCCGAAATGAATTCAAACTCGCTGCTCTGGCTGCCAAGAAAGACGGCGAAATAGAACAGGCTAAGGAGTATTTAAAGATCTACAAAGGTTTCGACTCGCTCCTTAATGCGGCCAGCAGTGGATTGCCAGTGGACTTAAATACGGTGAGTGAGAGCGCTTTCCCGCAGCAGAAACTGGTTGCTTATGTCCATAGATTCGAATTAATTTTTATAAACGCTCAATAGCTTCCTGTACCGCCCTCGAAACGTGATGAGTTGGAGGCCTCTTTTGCTATTGTTGCCAGCGAGGAATGTGATCCGAACGATGATATTTGTGAGATTGGAATACGCATGGAGGAGCAGTTGGCCAAGCAGCTTATGATGTGCAAAAACACACGCGATCATCACAAGGCCATGGGTGATGTGGCTGGGATGAATCGATTTGAGAATCTCGCTTTAACAGTGCAGAAGGATTTGGATTTGGTGCGCTATTCGAAGCGCAAAAATCTATCACTGCCCAAATTTCATTATGAGAAGCGCAGCTTCAACATTGTACACTGTAATACCGATCTAACCGATAATGAATTGGAAGTTGTGGTTGTGCGTGGCATTAACTACAATGTGGCCAATCCCAAGGATGTGGACACTTATGTGCGAGTGGAGTTTCCATTATTAAATGTGAGTTAGTACAGATATTAAAAGAAATTCCTATTTTAAAGGTGTATACACTTCGCAGGACGAGACTTTTAAGTCGAAAACAAATGTGATTAAAGACTCGGATAGTCCCGATTACAATGAACGTTTCAAAGTGGAGTTGCAACGCGGAAATCGACAGTTTCAGCGCATTTTCAAGCGTCAAGGCGTCAAGTTTGAAGTCTTTTCGCGGGGGTAAGTTGTTTATAAATTTAATAGCTTATCAGTATATGTTTGCGCACTAATCAATTATACTAATTACAAGCGCTTTCATGCCCACCTTTATTAATTTGACTAATTTCTCAGCAAATTAATCACGCTGTCTGTTTTTTTTTTTTTTTTTTTTTTTTGTAAATCAAAGGCTTTGTATTCACTATCTTTGAAGAAAATGTTAGCTGCCTAATTTAGTCTTAAACTATTAATATAATGTAGAAAGGTGCATAAGGGTTCAGGTTTTTTACTATTCGTAACAAAATAATGCTGATAAAATACTGTAAAAACAATTTTTAGAATGTATCTTATATAGCTTATAGAGTATATATAGTTTTCAGCAATGTAAGTGTCTAGTTAAAAAAAATAGTATCATATGACTTACAAAGTTGACTCACTGGCTTCAAACGTATCGTAGACGAAAATATTAGAGCCCGCACGTACGCTTCACACAATTCATGCCTCAATACGCAATTCATGTGATATTTGTTTTAATAAATCGTTTTAAAAATTTCTACACAACCCAAATGCTCGACCAAAACGATTCGTACATTCAAAATGCGCTAAAAATAATGCAAAATAATGCTAAAATAAAATCGAAAACACGCAACATATGCAAATAGCTGCAGTTTAGATTGTTGTGGACTAAGTCGTAAACTGCCCATATGTTGTTTCAGAGGATTTTTGCGTTCCGATACGCTAATTGGCACCGTAAATGTTAAGCTGCAGCCGCTGGAGACAAAGTGTGATATACACGATACATACGATGTGAGTAAACATATACTTATGTTGTATATACACACATCTATATTTAATCCAAACACTTGTTTACACATCCACACAGCTAATGGAAGGTCGCAGACAGGTGGGCGGCAAACTGGAGATAAAAGTACGCGTACGTAATCCCATACTGACGAAGCAAATCGAACATATTAATGAAAAGTGGCTGGTACTGGATGCCGAGGGCTGAGAGAGACTGCCATGGAAATAATATAAACACTTACACGCCTTTTACATGCAATGAAAAGATGCTAAATTAATTTATTGCTTAAGACACCGCATTGTTGTGCTCTTCTAGTCTGAGGCCTCACACAATTAATATGTCTGATAAAGCTTATTCCTAGCTCACACGCAGACATATAGGATGTGCGTTAAAAAATATGGTTTTACAATTTTCAAATTAAAAAACGAAAATTCAAATATGTTCTTTTTCGAAGAATTGTATTTATTTTTAAGAAACTTTTATTTCAAACGCCCTTCTTTGGTGTCTTACGTGCTCTATAAAATCGTTAGTTCCATTCCAAAAACTGTTGGTACTTTTATAAACATCCTATATAGCTGTTAAGAGAGCAGCTATCGCTTAACGCTTAAAGTATCCATCGGCGGAACGGGAATATGTAATCAGAACGGTTCCTGAAAGCGATTCTAAGGGTGTTTTGATCCCAAGTCTGCGTCATTCTCGCAGAGCTTTGATTTAATTTCATTATGTAAATCAGTTAAATGTAAATGCTGTTTATGAAAACGTCCATCACACACTATTGTCACAATTATAGAAATTATAATCGATTTTAAACTTAGTTTTCCTGCATTTTTCCATATGGAGGCTATTAGCCTAATCTGATCTACGAGTATACAACACCCGGCAGCTATATGGCCGGCGATATGTTTATAAACTCTATACATACATATAAAGTAGATGTCTTGTTAAGTAATTATTAAATTACATTTCCAAATATTCCACAATCTCTGAATAAGCACTGGTTGCACTGAAGAGATCCACGCCCCGAACCTTATAGAACCCTAAAAAACGTACGAGGATGTAAGAACGGGATCGCATATTTCTATATTTAACTCACCGTTGACGCTGAATCCTTCAGCGGGCGCATATTGAAACGATGGATATGGTAAATGCCAGCCCTTTGATATGTATTGCCAATGCGCTCCAATACGTTCCCGAAACCATACCTCGTAGGTCTTCAGGCACTGTGTCGATTTTGAATTCTCCCGCCAGCTGAGAAATACTTCACCTTTCGTAACTTCCACAATCTCTAAATTCTTGGGTTGCTTCAGCTTGGGCCAACTGCCGGAGCACACCCGTAAGAGCATGGCCCAGGGTAGTGGCAAGCTAGCCGAATTCAGGACCAACTCACTATTGTACTCCCAAATGGGACCAGTCTCGTAGAGACGTGGGGTCTGAGCGCGTCTCATGGCCGCTCGCAACGTTGCGTTTGGATACGCTGGGCTGCCATTCTGTTGCCAAATGTAGAAGGGATCCGTAGTTTGTGGCACCAACAGCTCCGTAATGAAGGCCGACTCATTCGCAATGGACATATTCAGCGTATATTTGTGATGGTAGGACGTTAGCTGCGGACCCGCCTGCTCCGGACTCACGAATATAGCTGCTATATACGCTGATGGTCCGCTGCCGGAAACACTTCTCAGCACTTGCACGCTGTGCTCCTGATCCATGTTCACCAATTCGACATCAGCTGCCTTATTGCCCAACTTGGAGAGCATTCCCAGAGCAGCGTAGACGGGTTTCTGCACGAATTGCGAATGCGGTGGTTGAGTCTCATTAAACCGGAAATGGGCCAGCAGTGTGCGTTGACTAAACTCATGGGGATGGTAGCTGAGAAAGGCATTATCGTGACTAAGTGACTCCAATTTCGAGAGCACGCCGTTCACAGCCAGCTTAGCTCGCCAGTGCTCCAATACTGTGGACAACAGTATCACAGCGTAGCGCACATCGGCCTGGTAGTCGCGTGGTGTGCTCCAATTCGACTCCGGATCAGCTTCGCTGAATAGATCAAGAAGAGAATATATAAATATTTGTGATAATCATTTACCTTTAAAGCTATTCCAATATCTTTATTATTAATATTATCCAAGGCTGAGGAATACTGTAATTATCCAAAGTAGTAGCATTGTGATTTGCTTAGGAAATCTTAGCGACTTCGAATGCTTGGAAATTTCAAAAGTAAGTAAGTAAATAAGTCTATTGGATTGTCTTAATATTAATTCATTTTCTAGACTCGGAATCAAGCTCGCTAAATATATCATTATTTTAAAAATCAATCATTACATATTTTTTTTAATGAGATATCATCTTGATATAATAAAGATCCATAGCTGCTTATATAAATTTGTATAGCTCTTCAGAACGACTACTTATAGACGGATGGTGAATAAATTCTCAGTAGCACTTTTAAGCCTAAGAAATGTGTAAACGGAAGGCATAACTTACTCATTAGCCACTGGCAGTTTTCTCAAATTCGGGTACTGTTGGTATATTTCCTGTAACAGCTCCATCGTGCCATTAAGAATTTCCGCTGCCTCACCATGGCCCTTGCGATGAAACGTCAATATATCTATGGGACATTGCGACAATTGTCGATTGCAAACATCCAATAACTGCCAGCACAATGGATGATGCTCATGGGACTTGAAGAGACCCGCGGGTCCGCGTAATGCTCTATAGTTCTGTTTCTTACGACGACGTCGATGACCTGTGGCGTTGCTTAGGCCCCGTCGTATAGCCCGCACATACTCCATATAGGTGGCGGCCGTGAAATTCAGACGATTATAGTTATGTATATCCGGCTCGTTCCAGGTCTCGAACCGCCAATTGGACATACGAGCTGCCCCGTGACGTGCTGGAAAGGAAGTTAGTTAACGGAAATAACTTCGAATAGCATTGAAGAGGAGTAATAGAAACACACCGAGAAAATGCCTCACAGTTGTCTTGGCGAAATGCTCCCATAAAAATGAATTCCTATTTGGGTTCTGCAGGAAAACATCACCAGGGTTGGCCATAAACTCCAGAACAGGCGCCAATTGCAGTTCCTGCAGATTGTCCACAAAGTCGTCAAACTTACTAAAGTCATAGATGGGTACACCCGCAGCCGAATATTGCAGGAACTCGACCAACTCCAGCAACCAATGTATGCGTATGTGTGTGACGGCCCCTTTGGGCAGGGCCGATATCTGCCTGAGATTCATTTGCACGGCCGGAGATGCCAGCGTTTCGCTGATATCCTTGTGGTTTATGCGGCCGGCCGGACAAAAGCCCACGCCCGTCCAGAAATGTGGCAGTGTGTGGTAAACGACATTGGACCCGCCGCTATAATGGGCGCTCCCACTGTTCAGAGCCAGCAGGAGCCAAAAAAATACCACGGCCCTCATTCGCACTTATAACTAAAATTTGTTAATTGCGCACAATTTGCAAAAACACGCAAAATTGCTTAATTATTTTCGTCTATTTGAATAATTTTCGTTTGTGATAAGAAGCAACCCAATGTGTCTGTATCTGTTGACCACAGCCTTGTGACGTCACATCGGTGGCAGCAGGCAGCAGCAAAAGAAATAACAACAACACAAATACAGCGGCAGCAGCAACAGTGTGCCAATGTCTCTCTCCCTCAGAACGGTAAACGGGCATTGATTGAGAATTGCAATTCCTCATTATAATAGGGGTGGAAATCAAATGCACACACACGCACACACATGCAAATATGATGTGTCAGAGCGTGACGAAATGTATGTACATATGTACATATGTATATTTTATGGTTTACTCAAATCGTAAAATATTTATGCGAGCATGCGAGTGTGTGTGAATAAAGATATAAATATGAACACACATACATATGTATGTAGATAAATTACGGGTATGATGTAAGCTGTGGGAATAAAACGGTTGCTGGAACTTATAGATAAATCTGCTTTATTTGTTTTGAAACCACCGGTTAGATGCTGTAATAACGTGTGGGGGGCAGCTGAAAATAATGTGAGAGCTTTCTAAAAGATTAAACAATTGATTTCATGAGATTTTTTACTTACCGCGCCAGCTTTATTTCGTTTTTAACAGCGCAGTTATGGAGTCCCAAATTTGGAATCACTTCGCAGCTTTCTTTTTATTGTTCACACATTTCCTATTGGGTTAAGATATGGACGGAACCAGAACATTAATTTCATTCTCCTGTAGCCATACAAACTACAAAGCAGACAATACAAGAGAAGTTAAGCTTAAATTTAATAATGATACTAAATTTATGTTTGATAAAAACTTAAAAAAAAACACATTTCAATTGTTTTCATATTAAGCAGCAAGAATTAAAACATATACGTGTATGATATACCGATTGTCCAATTTATAGCAATCTATATTACAATTACAAATAGGTTTTTGTAGGGAATTTTTCAAAAATAAAAGTTAATTCAGCTCTTTAAAAAAATCAGTTCCAATTTAAAGAGATTAACAAATTTTTTTAAAAACTACAAAAATTCCGTTTTGTACCAATGTTGTCCTATTGGAAAATGATTATACTTTATTCGTATTGAACAGCCACTAATTTGAATGAGGAAGATTACTGGGAGCTCGACTAACATAACGTAGGATTTCGAATAAGGTAAAGATCTTCTGTTATTTTAGAACCAATGAAGCATACCTTTTTAACTGAAACCTAAATGGCACTTAAATATCTCAGTCTAGAGAAATAGCTTGTTTTCTCAATGCAATCAGGTTTATTTTTTCATGAGCAATTTACAAGACGTTCAAGCAATGGTTTTTTTGATAGACTGCTACGGAAAACTTCCTAATAGTCGCCTAGGCTGAACATAAAGCATATTTGATTGCAATGATGGCATAATAATCGCCGCTAATTTTTCGTAATGCCTTTCCATAACTCTAATTGGGTCGACAACTCAAAATGTCACATGAGCTGTCGCTTGAACCTTCGTATATTGGCTTCAGTGTCCTATGGCAAGCACTGAGGATTGAACGAGGCTCCAACATGAAGATTATGAGAGATATAAAGGGTATTACCACGCCCATGCAGTTGTTTGCTTTACTGCCTTTCTTCACGGGCGATAAGGAAGACATGCGTCTGAGGACCTGTGGTAGACTCTATGGCTTCGTGGTTATGCTTGGCTTGCTCGTCAGCTCCACCATGTTCTGTCAGGATGTGCTGTTCGCCTCACAGGAGTACAAGCTGCTCTCGCACTCGCAGGGCGAAACGGAAGAAATAAATCGAACCATTGAGACGCTTTTTTGCATTTGTAGCTATACGATGATTGCGGTCTCCTGCGTCCATAACGGATCGAAACACTTTCGGACTTTGCGCGAAATTGCCAAAATCGATGAGTACCTGGAGGTGAACGGTTTCAATGCCAAGTACAGTTGTCGTTTTCTCGGCACTTTGCTGGCCATTGCCTCAGCTAGTGTCGTTGTCGTGGCCTTCTACTATATACACTATTTGAGCGATATAACCATTTCGAGGCAGTGCATCCTTATACTGATTTATAGCCTGCAGATGATCTATTCCTTTATGTTTGCCCTGTACTTGCGTACTATCCTCATGAACTTGACGCAACGCATCGAGTTCCTGAACCAGCGCTTGGATGAGTTCACCAAAGACGAGAAGAACACCTTCGATAAGGAGAATTGGCGTGAGCTGAGCAACTTAATCGAAATCTTTTGCAAGTTTCGTTACATTACAGAAAACATGAATGCGGTAATAACCAAATCCTGAAGAGATCCTTGACATTTTTAAAGTCTTATTAACATTTCATTGAAGGTGACTGGAGTGGCTTTACTATTTTATATGGGCTTTGCCTTTTACACTGTCACCAATCAGAGCTATTTGGCCTTCTCGACACTGACGACGCCTACCCAGCTGCGTAAGAATTATGATACTATGGGCTTATCCTGTGCCTGGGTTTTGGCCGAAACTACGACAATGAGTATGATATGCAGCTCGTGTGATTGCTTGGCTTCTGAGGTACGTATCAGAAAAGTATTGTAGAGCAGAGACTAGAAGCTTTTAGCTCTATTCGATCCAATTAGTTCCAGTTATATGTTATTACGCCACTATAAGGCTAATCTCATTTGATTATTCAAGACAAGAAAGTCGAAGTATTCTTTAAACCTTAACGGTTTTACGCTGAATGCACTTCTGTGTTCTTTATGGCTTAAGGGAGCAGTGAAGAGTAACCAATCCTTTCTGTTCAAGGTTGGGGGATTATTCCAACTGATATAGCTTAAATATTCAGGCACGTGTGCAATGTCAACTTCCAATGGGAAAACTTAATTATTTTAATGGCAATTCATAGCACGATATCAGCCGGCAGATAATCTCGACGTGACCTGTCGACCGTAGCCTCAGGACATTTCACTTAAGTCCTGTCAGTACCTCGTTGGTCATGTGTCCGAACGCTTGGAGCATTGAAATGCCAGCGTCGAGAACGCGTCCGAGTCGCATATCGCCCAATCGTCGCCGACGGCCTCTACTTAATGATGCCTTCATGCGTCCAGAGCCGCGAACTCCGCCGCGTCTAGCCAATAATCCCATATTCTCTGACATAACCATAATAATGTATGTTCTAAAGGCTTGCGGGCTGTTGCCCATCTATGAACAAATATCCAGCTATGAAGTGGGACCACCCACCAGGACAAATGAGTTCTATTCTTTCTTCGTGCGGGGAGTGATCCACGCCCTTACAATCTTCAACATCTATAGCCTTTTTACATCGAGCTCCGCGCAACTATTTTCGTCGTATCGTGACACTGATAATGTCAATCAGTGGATCGAAATATTGCTATGCATTCTGACCTATACCCTAACGGTCTTCATATGCGCTCGTAATGCGAAAGTTTTTCTGCGCATTATGAATGACATTTTGCGGCTGGACGAGGAAGTGCGACGTCAGTTTGGCGTCAAGCTCACAACCCAGGTGGGCTGCTCGGTCAAGCTCCTGGTGGTTATTGCCTTATGCCAGGCCTACATCATCGTGCTGAAGATCCATGGTGTCGATGGCGAAATTACGCCCACTTCGTATATCCTCATTGGTTTCTATGCCGTGCAGAATGGTCTCTCCATAACCTTCATTCTGTTTGCTGCCGCACTTCTGAAAATTGTAACCATTCGATTCAAATATATTAATGAATTGCTCAATGGCTACACCTATGTCCAACAACAACAAAAACATGTGGGCACTACAGCTGCTTCAATGGAACACTTCCCGGACGACTCCCTCTTCGTCTACCGGATGCACAATAAGCTTTTGCGCATCTACAAGACCATCAATGAGTGCTGCAGTCTGATATTAGTCGGCTATATGGGCTATGCCTTCTATACGATCACTACCAATACATACAACCTGTTCGTTCAGATCACCACCAAAGGCATGGTCAGTCCTAATATTTTGCAGTGGTGCTTCGCGTGGCTCTTCATGCACACGACCCTACTCGCGCTCTTATCGCGCAGCTGTGGACAGGCCACTAGAGAGGTTTGGAGGCACCATGACGTATTATTTCGTAACTAATCTATTTTATTGATTGCCTTTATTTTAGGCCAATACCACATCGCAAATATTGGCGCGTGTCTATGGCAAAAGCAAGGAATTTCAAAATATTGTGAGTATGCAACATGTCCTTACATCTCTGTTTTATGATTCAGATGAATTAATCAGCAATTTATAATTAAAACGGCTTTCTTAACCAAAGCACTTAGCAAAGGAAGTTAAATGTTGAACATTTGTTTAGTTAATAAAGATTAAGTCATTAGTTGGTGCCTAAAGAGTGCTCGCTTAAGTGCTTGGTATGAGAAGCGCAGAGGAGGGCTGCCTTAAATTCAAAAATTATGTTTCTATTTTTAAAAGGAACTATTTGAACTTTTAATAAATTATTATCAAGACTTTAGAATTTAAATTTTGAATTTATAAGAAATTAAACGACTTATACACAAATATTGAAAAAAGTATTTAGTTTTCATACCGATTCATCAAATTAATGATTTATTTATCGTTGTTTTCTTTGTAGATAGATAAATTTCTTACTAAAAGCATTAAGCAGGACGTCCAATTTACGGCCTATGGGTTCTTTGTCATAGACAATTCAACCCTGTTTAAGGTAAATAACAATACTTTGAACGAAATGCAATTAAATGTTGAACATAATACTTTGAACGAAATGCAATTATGATCAATTTTTGGTTTGAAACAGATATTTTCAGCCGTAACCACTTACCTAGTCATACTGATTCAATTCAAACAGCTAGAAGACTCAAAACTCGAGGACTCTGCAACATAAGAGATACTACCACAAGAGGAAACGAATATTTTTTAATGTCTTATCTTTATTAGAACTATGAATGTTTCTTCAATTTCAATTAAATTTTCTATTTGTATATTTATGATACAACTTTAAAGAAATACAAATTATTGCATTATTTTTAGTTTTTGTAATAGAACACACAATTTTTATGATATTTGGTTTTGATTTTGAATATTCAAAACATTTAAGAAACCGATGCCGAGATATAGCATAGCTTAATACAAAAATTAAAGTTATTGCAGCATAAGAACAAATACAAATTTATGGCTATTATAGAAAAATACAAAATCAAACACTGGCATAGTTGTTGTCTGGAACGTTCACATTAATGCTGCTTTAGTGGCTATTGTCGTCGTAGATGGCTAGCAGTTCAGGACCTTTGACTTGCGACGATTCTCACCGAATAGGAACGAACAAACCCGATCCAAGGCAAACGCACCAATAATATCGACGACCAGAACAATGAGCAAAAGTTTGCGGAACTGCAAAAACAATATAGAATAAATGGTAACGATTTGTGGTTGGAGGTATAAAGATCGAGCAAATACGTACATCCGCTGGAAAGTCTATGATTTCGAAGAATTCCGTCAGTTCTGGTGCCAAGCCTGTCGTCAAAAGCAGCACCAAACCAGCCGAGGCAGCAATCGAGTACATTAGCATTCGATTCGCGCGCAAGCTCTCCATAAAAGGATGGCCCTGTGGGTATAAGATAAGCGATATAAATCATGCCCTTTTTTTAAAAAAACACTTGATATGTAATACCTTATAGTTAACCGCTATGGTGGCTACTTGCAGTGCTATACAAATTATATAAACCGTACTGCTGACAATATTTGGATCATATTTGGTCTTCTCTTCGGGATCCATGTCAATATACAACTTGACTTTACCCGTTCTGTTGTGGGAAAATGTTACATAAATAATCAGGAAACATTTTCTAAAATTATGATCAGACACGCAAATAGTTTGCGGACAAATCTCTTCAATTTTACATGTTTTTTACAGATTTACTGTTTATGGCCTTTTTGAAAAATTGAATGAGTTTGTGAGCAAAATATTTGCCTGTCTTACCGTAACATAACTTACGAGGGTGGCGCCAACGCCGTAGCTTGGCTGGTCAGATAGTAGAGAGTACCGAAGTGTACGGCGAATTGTGCGAGTATTGTCGATATGGTGTACAAATTGAATATATTTGGCAAAGGCGCTACCTTTGAAAGTGTCTTTAGGGGCTGTAAATAAATCAAATCCAAATTATTATACAACTACAACTATCCGAATGCTGGCAAAGTTCGAACATACTTTCGAACGTGTGATGAACAAGAAACAAGCGGCTATAAATATGCCTTGCATGGTGGCCTGTGTGTCGCTAAATTTGACGCCGTCGATATAAAGAACGGATTGACAGTACGCCTGTATGAGAGCATTTAGAGCCAATATCTTGAACATTTGTAGTGTTGTGACCAAAGTGCAGCGGCCTTGTTTAATTATGTGATTTACTGGAAAGAAAGAGAATGAAATTATAATATGTGGATAGCTACAACACAATCCTAAAGGCTTTTTTAATTCTTGGAGGACTCTATTAACATTCTAATTGAACGAATAGGGCTCCCTATAGCCGATAAAATATGTCAAAATGTTCCCACTTACCGCACACAATCGACGAGGATTTGCTTGTGAAGGGCGCTGCTATGGAAGCATCTCCCAGTTTCACCATTGTCTGCTCCTCCATGTCTTTCAGGGCGTTCTGTAGGCGCGCTTGTGTTTGATTCAATTGCTCTTGGCGACGACGTAAGGCACGCTCACGAGGCGTCATCTGTTGATTTGCCGCAGTTTGTGCAGCAGCCGCTGCCGCCGTTGCTGCATTCAGCTGCTGCACTTCCTCCTCAGTGCGCTTGCGCTTAACTGGTGCGCTGGTCAGCAGTGAGACACCCACATGGGCATGCTTGAGGGCGCCCACATCGTTGGTACCATCGCCACACATTAGTGTACAGTAGCCGAGCTGCTTGAGCGTTGTGATGACAAATTCCTTTTGTTTGGGCGCAAAGCGTGCGCAAACCGTGATCTGTGGCAGCAGCTTTAGCATATATCGATGTGCATTATGTTGTAAATACAAAAGTCCCTCTCCTGTAATGCATAAATCATGGGTGGCCAGCAGCATAGATATGTTTCTCTCGCGGTTGGGCTCCAGTTGATAGGTTTGATCGCCATCGATCGAAACCCAGGTCCAGTTTTCGTTGCTTGACTCGTGTGGCGGTGTAAGGATCAATAACTTCTTACGCGTGAAGCGCAATTCGCGGGCGACATGGCAGGCAGTGAGGGGACTGTCACCGGTGATCATTACAACCTTGTGAGAGGATTGAATGAGTTCCTTGATGACGCTCTTCGAATCAGGCTTCATTGGACACGAAATGATGACAAATCCAGCAAATGTGAGTTCGCATTCCACCTCATCCCTTTTAAGTTCTCGCACGCGTTGGGCGCTTAGGGTGTTGAATTCCTTGATGCCCAGTGCTAAGACGCGAGCGCCACGTCGAGCGTATTCTAAGTAGATCTTGAAATAAAGTCAGCAGTAAGATAAATAGTTATGGCAATAAAACAAAGTTCTCATTACTCACCTTTTCGTAGTCCTTGGGCACTGTTTTGAGCATTTTTATTATAACCTCGGGTGCCCCTTTGACCGCACCAATGTAGGAAATTTCATTGGAGTAGGGCATTAGATAACCGGCAACAACAGACATGCGTTTCAAAGCGGATGAGAAATGATAGCGTTGTACAATACGAAGCGGTTTCAGCTGTCCACGCTTGGGTATTACACTATCTGTTTTGGTTAGGCTCCAGTCCACGGCTGCTAGTGTGGCTTTTTCGAGGGGATCTCCCACCAAGCCATCCTCAAGCACAGCCAGCGAATGACAGCAGGCTAGTACCTGAACGGTGCTGTTCTGCGCCTCCTCTATGGGCACACAACTGCCATTGGGAGTCAGCCCGGCAATACCTTCCACCATCAGGTTGTCTGTGGTCAGCGTGCCGGTTTTGTCAAAGCAACAGATTTGCACTTTGCCGGCAAAGGGAATGCGAAAAGGTTCCGTGCAGAACACAAACAATTTGGTGAGTTGAATAAGCGATGTATTGACGGCCAGCGTCAGTTCAATGGGCAGGTCTGGTGGTATAATTGAGGTGAGAATCAAAGCACACTCCAGGAACAGTTTATAACGATTGCGTTCGGGATCCTCACTTCCCTTGACCCAAACATATGAGGCAGCAGCAACAGCAAACACCATAAGGAATGCAATAAAGGCAAAGGTCTCTGCATTGTTCTCAGTAGCGCGATTGGCTCCAAACAGAATGGTGCGCAGCAGTTTGCCCTGCGAGGTGTTGAAGCCGGTGCGAATAACATAGCCAATGCAGCCGCCATCGGGCGCACGCATCGATTCCTTAGAGGGAGCCGTATGCTGCACCACTTTGGTACCACCATAGAGCACAAACAACTTGCCATCACCTTCGACATTCAATTCTACGTTGAGCTGATCCATCGATTCTAGAGATTCCTTCATTTGCGGCACCGATTCACCAGTCAACATGCTCTCATCCACAATGCAATTGCCACGCAGGATGACCACATCGCAGGGCACAATATTATCGTTTTGAGATCGCGTTATTGACACCAAATCACCGGGAAGCAACTCATCCGAACCAATGTGTCGCCATTTGTTCTGCCGGAATGCATAAATCAAATAAGGTTTATTGCCCATTTTACGTATTTCGGACATGTTGCGCAGCTGCTGCTTCACAATGGTACACTCGAAGGCAATGAGCATGAAGAGTGTGAACAGGGAATAGTACCAGTAGTCATCCATGCACCATAAACCCACCGAGAACACTTGGAACACAAAGAAGGGAGCTGTAGCACGTTCCACAAAGAGTTCATGGAACTCGGGCACCACCATCTCCATCTCATTGTTTCCATAGGTCTGTTCTGCTGTCTTTAACGCCTCTTCTGTTTCGTGACCGCGTGAATTGGCATAAGAGCTCAGCAGCTCGTTAACAGGAAATTCAACAGCACGGAATGTCGCCTTCTCACCATCCCATACATATTTGGTTTTTTGAAATACTAGGTAATACTCTAGGCCACCATCTTGCAGCTTCATGCTGCGTATGGGCACAATTTTCGAGTTGCCATTGTTGGCTGTGGGCACAACCTTGGCCAGTACGCCCGGGCCGGGCAGCTTCACACGGCGACAAGTGAGAAAGGCCAGCACATGGACGCTCCAATAGCAAAACAGCAGCGTCAGAATGTGTACAAAAGCTATGGCCACCACGGCCACGAACCCGATTTCATTCCATGCTGTCGTCGCCTCGGTTTTATCCAGAACCGCAGATTCAACTGGCAGGTCCAATTCTCCCTTTTCAGTGCCGCCATAGACATAGATCCACAAGTAAAATGCAATGAGATACAGCGGCACAAAGGGCAGAATGAGGCCACTAAGCGGTGTTGGCGTTCGCACGTAAAGATTCACATATTGCACCAAATCGTCCAGCGTGGTCGTTTTTTTCCGGTTACCGTCACCAGCGCCTGACGCTTGAATGGTTGAGACGCTGCTCATCGATTTGGTTGTTGTTTCTCCTCGGGCCGTTTATTCTTCTGCGTTCTTTAGAACCTTTGTCACAATCTCATTACAGATAAAACGCGTCTCAATTCAATTTTTTATGCAGCGTAAGCACGCATAGCGCTCAAATTATACAGCAAAAAAAGCAACGTCGGCGGTCAGCTGGTCGAAGTGTTGCCACAACAGTGTGCGTAACAATAATTTAAAAACTCATAACTGGGAGCACATTAAAATTGCATTTCATGAATTAAAAAAACTTTTCTTCGATTGAAGTTTAAGGAATAGATTTAAATGAAATTTAAAAAACGTGCAATAATTAAAGATGGCTGAGTAGCAATAAACTTGCTTATCTTTGATAAACTCAGGCATACATGTGTATACACTGGCCATCGACGTCATTTGACATTTCGTATGTTTTTTTTTTCACTTGCATTATTTGCATTCCCGGCATATTGTTGCATCTTAATTAACTATACTTTAATAAGGTAAAATCAAGATGTCTGTGACTGACGAAAATCAATGGGAGTTAGTGACTAAATCCAAAAAGCAGAAGAATCTAGAAAAAAAGATAAATGTGCATACCGAGATAAAACGTATAGCCGCTTTGCCACCGAAGCTTGAGGAGCTTTGTAAGTGCTTGAAATACTTATTAGTTACATTTATTATTACAATTATCTTATAGTACCGCCCGCACAACAGTATCGGAATTTGTTTGGCTCGAAAAATAACAACAAGTCCTCGCCAGCGAAATCAAACTCTAGCTCGGGATCGCGGAAAGAGAGGTCGCCACGCAAGAACTCCACGAATCCAACAAAAGCGTCCATAAGCTCAACAACCAACGCAGAACATGGAAAAAAACACCAGCAGCAAACGGCGAAATCGCGATCTCTGGAGCAGGCGTTTCGACAAATTACTGCCGATGATTTTACCGCGCAGCTGGAGCATTTGAAATTCATTTGTCCTGGTTCAGAATTACGTTGGCTTAGCAGTGTAAGAGCAGTGTATATACATATCTGATTTATTTTTTAATATTACGTTTTCTTCATTTTATTAGATTGCAAGCTATTTTAATGGCATTTTAGCATTCGACTGCGATCCCACCTTCTCCGGCCGAAGTGCTCAGTATCCCACTAATTTGGCCAGTGGTCCATTAAAACAGGCCATAATCGAGTTTTTGACCAGCGTGGGGGAAACAAATTTGGAGTATTTCTTCTACTCGCTGCTGGATAGCATGGCCACAGAACTGAATAACAACCAAACCGTTGTTGGCCTCAAATTTTTGCTGCAACTTATTGGCCAGCACTGGCCGAGTATTTGCTCGAGCAATATGGCCAAGACGGCTCTACTACGCAACTCATATCAGAACCGTGCCATTATCTGTCTAAGCATATTGTGGGCCATAGGACAGGGCGGCTATAAGTCGCTGACGGATGGTGTAAAAGTATGGCAAAATATCATGTTTCCGAATTTAGAGATGAAATCGTACACCAAGTTTGTGGTGGAATATATGGAGCGTGTGCTAAACGCTGCTGCTGCTCGAGGACCTGAACCATTGCAAATCACTCAGTTGGAATTCTTTTTAACGTACAATGCTCTCAACATACCTTTTCCACACATTGCTAAAGAATTGCAGCTAAGTTTAAAACGCAGCTCAGCGCAGTTGCTGGTGAGTTTGTACAGCATTTTATTAATTTATTTTTTTGTAATTTCTTGTCTTTTATTTTTCCAATAGCAAGTATATATAACTAGTTCTTCGAAAAACACCAATGTTTTCCTAACATTGCTGCGCGAAATCACATCGCTGCACAATCGAACTGAAATTGAAGGCTGCATCAGCTGCTTGTTGAGCAGTAGTGCCGACGATTGCTTTAAAGTTTGGCGTATGAACTACAAGAAACAGCAGCTACCTAGCATGATTCTGTTGCAAGCAATAGGTAAGCATGCGTAACAAATGTTTCTTTGATTATATTCTTTTATTTTTTGAATTGCAGACCAAAACTGGACGGATTTCACGCATGTTTTGACGCAATCAATTGCATTCCAAAACTTTCTAACAGAGTCTGCAGTATTTAACGAGGAATTGCTCACAGGAAAGCGTCGCGAAGTTGATGTAGACGAATTACAATCAGTATTAGCGGTAAGTTAATTTAATTTTTAAACTGCGCGGTCTACGTCTACCGTCGATTGCAGTAAGTTGGCAGTCCAACATGCTTGCATTTTTTGTTTTGGCCAGCACGTTGTCAGTGTTGGTGAGTTAGTTGTCGTTATCGGTATCGTCTCTAGTTTGCGTGCGTATTGAGAAAAGAAAAAGTGGAGGAAAAGCAGCAGTTCTGCTGAAGAAAGTGTAATTATCAAATAATCAAGCATATAAATATTTGCAATTGTGTTCAACGTATGCCGCCACCAGCGTTGTAATCGTGTGCGCAAGCTTTCCTAGTTGCATAAATATAATTGTTGACGTGTAACTACGAAGCTCGTAAAGTGAAAACGAAGCAAATAGGTGCCGCTAGCCGACGCTGCAGTTATTAAAGCTTGCCGGCTGCCAAATGTTTTCTCTTTTTCGTAATTATTTTGCAACCACATATAGTTGTAGTTTTTGTGCATAAATTAGCGAGCGTCAGCTAAATATTGTTGTGCTTGCAGTGCAAAGTGCGTTGAAAGTGGTCGAGTGTGGCTGTGTCTGCATGTACATATATACATACATATGTGTATATGTATGTATGTACATATTTACGAGCTACTGCATTTTTCTATGGCGTTGCCATGCGGGCAGGGGCTGCTGTCTCATATTTTGTGAATATTTGGGACTTTGTGGCCTATAGGAAACATAGAACAAATATATATATTCGCGCAATTTATTTATCAGCCATCGTCTTCATCGCCAGGCAGACAAATTATCGCTCGGTTGCGAGCGTGTGTGTGTGTGTGCAGCTTGTTCTTATCGGGCGCAGCCAGGGTTCTACTTTGACCGCGTTGCGTGGCGCATACAAAACACGATCATTAACATGATCCCAACAAGTAAAGGCAAGCTTGTTGCCCTTCGCTCGACGGCATTTTTTGGATGATGTGTTCTAACTGCGATTGGTTGGCTGGAAGCGTACACACACACACATGTACACAAAGGCATGCTACACACCCCACCCCTATTGATTACGCGCCTCAGTGTCGTCACTTAGCGGTGGTGTCATTTTTTATACCCTGCATCCGAAGGGTGATAGATATACTAGAAAGAACTTTTAAACCATAATATCTAAAGCCAGTTGTGGGCTCCTTTAAGCAGCGATCGGTAGAAAAATCATACTTAGTAAAATAACTCTTGGGCTTCGTTGAGATATCACAACAAAATGTGTGCTTATACGAGAAATAAAGTTTATTTTAGTTAATGGATTGGGTAAAGGGCATACAACAGCCGGTGAACGAGGGTTCTTGTTTTTTATTCGATTCAGGCGGCATTTGCATTGATTTCTATTTTCTTTTCTGCCACTGCGCTGTTTCTCTACCTGTGTCTGCGAACGGATGCTGCCCACGTCACAATTGACCGCAAATGAAAAGGTGAAGCAGATAGCAGACGAAGAAGAAGCAACAGCAGAAACAAAAACAACAACCACTTGGTTGAACTTTCTTGTTGGCTTTTTCTTTTCCTTTTCGTGGCTCGTTGGCTGGCTGGCTGGCTCTTCAACACGTGGCGGCGGCGACAACAACAGCAGCAGCTGCGTTGACCGTGATTTCTTTTTATGTATTTTCTGTTACTCGCACCACTTTTCGTCTCCCCTTTTGACCCGCATATTCTGTGTGTGTGTGTGTGTGTGTGTGTTTGTGTATGTGCTGTGTGTGTGAGTGGCTTTTTCCAATTTTTCCCCTCGTCATCACCGTCGTCGTGTAAACGTCAAAAAGCTCACGCCATAGTTCATTCAACCTAGTTGTTGTTGTTACATTACATTATATTTGATTAGCTCTGCCCGCCAGTTGTTTTTATACAATTTCATTATGTTATAGCTTATCAAATTTGCACATGTGTGTGTGTGTGTGTGTTGCACAGCTGACGCGTCGCTTATTGCGTGGCCTTCACTGTTGGATGTGTTTAGCTGACGTCTTATTAACATTCCAGGAGACGGCCCTCTTTTTTTAGTTTTTTAATGCATTTGCTACTATTTTATTTGCGTACGTGACATTTTTGTTTGTTTATAAACTATTTTCTTGGGTGGGTTTGAGGTGGTTCTCATTTCCTCTATTCATCAACAACAGCTGATGGCAATTATTTCTGATTATCACTTTTGTCTAATATGATCTACAATGTTTGCTGTGAAGGAACAGCTCGCTATAGAACAGCTATTTATAGAAAAGTTAATTACAATTACCTGTGTAGTATTAGTAAAGATACAAGATACACAAGAAGATACGTATTTCTTATTGTAGTTAGCTTTTAGATTCGACGCTGAAACTTGTGGGGTAAGACGAAAGGCAAAGTGTTTAAAGAAGTATGTCTATTAACATTTTTCCTTAAACTATTATTCTTTCCACTGAAAATTCTAAATAAATCGTAGTTTAAATCAAACATCTTCTCAATATTCAAATAGTGTCTGTTTTAATTAAGTTGGGGCACATCCATGTGCCATTCATATTCCACACGGAAACGTGTGTAGAGTGCTTAGCAGCCAACGCTAAAAGCTTGTAGCTCCTACAGCAAACGACTAATTACATATTCAATTGATTACGAATATATTCACACAACATTGCTGTATTTGTGCACAACAACAGTAACAACAACAATTATCCAAGCATAACGCTAAACACAATTGCAAATAATAACTGAGTCGAAAACGTAACACAATTTATGCATGCATATCAAAATTTGTTCCTAAATAGCGCAACTTTAAATACTCGTCGTGTGAAAAAAGAGAGAATTATTTAAGTGAAATTAAATAAAAATGGCTCAGGCTAAAGTGAAACAAAACAAGCAAGGCAAACAAGCACAACCTGCCAAGAAGGTAACTCCAAAAGCCACAAAGACCCGCAGCTAAAGCCAAACCTTTAAAAGGTATTATAAAATCTGACAACATATTAATAAGATTTCTCTCTCTTTCGGTGCCCAGAATGTGCAGGAGAAGAGCAGCGCACAACAAAAGAAGAACAAACAGAATGCGGCACAAAAGAAGAAGTGCGGCTGCTGTAAATGGACGCTGGGCAGCATCCTAATTGTGGCCCTTATCGCCGGTGCACTCTGCTATGACACCGAGGTGAACGGCAAAGGTGTCTTCGAGAATTCGGCCACCGGCAAGGTGCTGAAAAATGCCGGCGTTCTGCCGCACGTGCAGAAGGGCTGGTACGCTACCATGAGTGCTAGTGCGCGTGGCTATAAGTGGGCCGAGAAGAACGTGCCACCCTATGCTCAGCCGGCGATCAAATTGGGCGGTGATGTCTACAAGTTGGCGCGAAACACCCTATGTAATGCCAGCACAGCGGCAAGGACATACTTCACGGCCAAGTGGCCGGTGGTGGCCAAGTTTGTGAGTATATAGCGATGATATAGTATCGACAGAAGTTTGAACGGTCGACTGACATCATTTTTAATTAAGCCACCGGGCATTGCTAGCGTCGAATTTAGAATTTAGTCTGCAAACCGGTTTAAAAAAAAAAATGGTTAACTCTGGCTCTTTTTTCTCGCATAAGTTGTTTAATAAATGCGCCCACCGTTCAGCTTTCTATTATTTGCACATCTCTTCTTTACATTGCCACTTTTATTATATATTTCTTCTCCTTTTTAGATTGACCAATATGTGCCGAATCTGTCCAACAAACTCGAAGCAGCTGCTGTCAGCACCAAGACTCTTGTCGTCAACAGCTATGACAAGTCTGCGGCGCTAATCAAAGAGAAGGTGCTAGTGTAAGTGCAAATATTTATATCTATTTGTTTCCCCATAGGCAGTTTAGGGTTTAACAGAAGTCGAGCCTGATAAAATGAAATGGTTTGCAAATGGGTTTAAACTGTGAGATGCTGGGAGATGACTTCGAAAATCAACGATTTTATATGTAATATATGCGATCGGTTTTTTAGGGGAGTGATATGATTTCAGAAAGTAATTAAATGGATCTTGAATATAAGAATTTTCCAAGTAATTTCGAACTATACTATCATTTTTAACTTGGGGTTTGTTGATTTATTCAAACATTTCATTAATCAGAGAAATCAAAGTTAATTGTTGCTATCTGCTTTCAATATAGTAATATATAACCCATTTAAAAAGTTTTAAATCAGCGACGAGAAATGCTTCCGTTTGAAGATATGCTGTCAGAAAGTATTTACACATATTCTTAACGATGTATTTGAAAACTATGTTGGGATATATTGATTGACATCTTGAATCGTAGTTTCATTTACCTAGAGCGGTCAATTTTCAGAGGAGTGTCAAGAATAAACATCAATACTATCCAATTACAAACGCAATCAATCATCGCCTTGATTGATGTTTCCGTGTTGATCGTCAAGCTGCTTCTATTTTGGCAATATGTACTATATTTCCTATACCAAGAACACTTGCACATAAATAGATTTTCTCTTTAGGAATACCGATGTGCCTTTATTTTAACTCATTCGCCAATGTTTGGCTGAATGTCGAATGAGAAGTACTTCAAGGCTTAGGTGAAACGCTTAGCCATTCAATAAATGAATCATAAACTATTGTTTCGCTGTAAATCGTATATCAGGCGGTTGCCTTTTTGATAAATTATTCTGTCTAATTCTGCTTTGATGAAGCCAAACTAAAGCACCAATTATAGTAAATGGGTAGATTTTGCGAATAACACATATTATATATTTTGCGGCTTGCATTGAATTCTCTCACAAAATCGCAAAGTTGTTGTTGTTGCAATTAATTAATAAATCTATAATGTGTTGGGTAGTAGGAAGATTGAATAAATCCAAATGCAGCCGCTGTAGAGTTTCCTTTGATTGTTTTACTTGGCTTGTTGGGAATGTGCTTTAGTTCTAAATGTATTTAAATAGATTTATAGGAAAAGATTCTTTAACAACAAAACCAAGAAATGGAAATCTAGTGCTAAACAATCTATATCGTTTACCTTTTTGTGGAAAGCTAATGTAAAGAGAAGAGGAGCTTTTCACACATTTGGAATCATAACAGAGGTCCCATGTTTATTGAAGAACTACACAACCCAACACAATGAGCCGACTTAAGATAATTAGGATTGTCTCTCTAATATTGCAGTGGTCGCTTCTCGCCTGAGAACATCAATCAGGCGCTGAATTTAACGCGAAATGCCGCACTGGACTACTACAATCAGTTTCACAAAAAGGTTGATGCATATGCCAAGCTCAAATGATTCTAAACGTCGGGCACGTTTAGAAATTAATTCAACAACAGCAACAACAACAGCAGCATCAACCACAACCACAACAACAACAACCAATCATGAAACCAACAAAACGCAGTAAGCGAAAAAGAAACCTATTTGAGTGAATTTCTTTTCGGCATCTAGTAAAAAGTAAAGGAGCAGCAACACAGGAGGAAACACATCTGCATGTTCATCTAAACACGCGCGGAGCTCAGTTTATGTGTTAAAAGTGTTGCAATCATAACAAAAACAACAACTACAATACCTTATACAATTCTTAGTAAATTAAGTTGAACACGAACATATTAAATTCATATAAAAACTGATTAAGTGTAAAGTAAAGCAAGTAATTTGATGAAAATCAGTTGGCAGCAGTTTGAAATAGCTTTTTCGCTTACAAACTGTTTGCGACTGTTTGGTTAAATTATGAGACATTTCCACGAATTTCTACAATAAAAAGTATCTCGATTAATTTTAGAATCTTTCGAAATTTCGGTGAATTGCAAACGAAAAACGAAAATGCCCTTGTGTTGGGGGCGGCGCGAAACGTAAAACATTTCCAATTGCATTTTTTAAAGCAAACAAAATATTGAATTTAAACTAAAAACTTGATATCAAATATTTTGAAATAGAATTTAAATTATGCTAATTTTTAAAAAACATCTGTTTTGTGTGCATTTTTTGAAGCATTTTCGCGAAAGACTTTTCCCTAAGTGTAGTAAACAAGTTTGTGCTTTCCACATGCTTTAGTCAGTTTTCGCATGTGGAATTCCTTTTTTTAATATGTAACTTCCGAAAAGTTGATCCAATTTCAATTCTCAGTTGTAAATGGAAAACAAAAATCAAATATTTGCATAAATACAAGTTGAAGAAAAAAGAGAAACTCTTTCATTTACTGGCGGGCCAATTGGGATGCATATTTGTTTTGTACAGCACCTCAGTATTAAAGGATGACGATCAGTTTCAAAAGTCAAATTAAACTGTAACTCTATTTAAAGTTGAAAAATCGAAGCTCAGATAATACTTATGGCAATTCCAAAAAAGAAAGTAGCTGTTTATTGCTTAACAGTTTGGTTGTACCTGTTACACGATTGGGGAAAAGCGGGATATTTTTAATAACAGTGGTTGCTCCTCCTATTAATCGGCTGCTAACAGCAGTGCCAAAAGGGAATTTGAAATGTATGGAGGGAGTTTCTTTTAACAGTTTAGTGCAGGTTAGACCCCACTTTACAGAATGGGACCATTCGAAATGTGGGATATTTTTAAAAGCAGGCATGTTAAGTGTGCTGGAACTAATAGGGCTCTTATCAGCAACGCAAAAACGAATAAATATAAAATTTTGGCTGAAAATGTAAAGATTAGTAGAGTTAATTTTCCACGAAAAGGATATTACAATGCCAATAAGAAGCTTAGCACACAGTCCAGCAAAATGCTTGTAATGAAAAAAAAAACATTAAGGAACTTGAACTAATAGGCTGCTATTAGCAGCGTCAAGAACGACATTAATCATTTAACAGTTTGTTGCTAATTGTTAACAGCTTATTTCATATTAGAAGCAATGTTGCAGTAAAGGATATTTTGAATGTGGAACAAAAGATTGCTTAGCTGTTAACAATTTATTGCATACTAAAACCAATTGGTAAATTTTAATTGTGGGATATTGTTAATAACAGCGCTGTACAGGCAGTTCATAGAAGGAGTTTCAACTAAAACATTAACAACTTAGTGCATATTAGAACCAATGGGATATTTCAAATAACAGCGCCGGTCATGTTAATAAACATCTTGTAGCGCCAATAAGGAACTGAGTACAAAGTCCAGGAAATGTTTGGCAATGAAAAACAAATTAGGGTTGCTTGACAGTTTGGTGCTAACTATTAACAGTTTATTGCATATGTGGGGCAAAAGATTAACAGCTTATTGCATACTAGAACCAATTGAATTATTTTAATTGTAGCATATTGTTAATAAAAGCGCTGTACAGGCAGTTCATACAAGAAGTTTCAGCAGTTTAGTGTGGCTTGGAACCAATGGGGTAATTTTAAAAGTGGGATATTTCAAATACCAGCGTCGGCCATGTTAATTAACATCTTGCCCCACTGCTGTTAACAGCAACAGTACTGCCCCTGCATTGAATTCGCCGCTTTAAAAATTCGGAGTAGTCCTTCGTGCCATGCTGGGAGCTTTTGTTGTGGGCAGCCACTGCCAGCCGCAGTATCTAACGAAAGGACGCGCGCGACGCACGTGTTTTTTCTAAATATTCGGTGCGCTTCGCGTCTGCTGTGGAGCTAACTATCCGTGTGGTGTCACGAACTCGTCTTTCGCCATCTGATTGCTTGACGTAACCAACAACTGAGCCTTCAGCTTCATGTTGAATGCATTTTTGATAAGCGCGAGGCGTCAAATTCGATTCAATTCGATTGGTGTAACAGTGTGTCAGTGAGTGTGTATGTGTGTTTGAAAATATTGTGCAGCAAAGAAAAGTGAAAGCAGAAAATTCTTCAAAGTACGCGAGAAAGTTTCGCTAATGATTGCTGCTTCTCTGCGGGCGGCAAACTTGGACGCGAGCGAAACTTTCCGAGTTTCCAAATAATAACACAAAGAGCCCCCCAAACATACCATTTGAATTTAATTTAAATATAAATATACATATGTACAGCAAATGTTTTTCGTGTCCGTGCAGCCATTGTTGCTGTTTTACAACAAAAAGCATATCAGCTGAGATGTAAATATCGAAGACAGCAGCCGGCCAAAGGTCACGACGGACACTGACTGAACCGAAAAGTAAGTTTATTAATTTAAAATTTATAATATTTTTCTGAGAATGATTACACTTTATGGAAAGTAGAATTATGAGACTTGCTGAAAACCCCATTTCCGGTTTCCTAAAATAATTTAAAATTCTACTATACAAAACAGTAAAGCTGCTTAAATGTTTATTAAAACGGTAGAAAAGGGATATTTTTAAATAGCTGCTATATTGGTAGCAGAATACTGGTTTAATAAATTGTACATAAATTTAAAAAAGAAAGAAAAAGCATACAAATAGAAAAGGAAAGCGTGTTTTTAGGTTTAACGTTTTCTTTTTGCTGATAATGTCTAATTAGAAATGTAAGCATTGTAAATAAAAACTGAAATTTGTCTTTCAAAAACAAATTAATATTTAATTAATGACTATCTCTTATTTTTTATAAAGTTTTAGGCAATTTTGTAGTTTGTATTGGCTGTAGGAAATCAGATTTTATATTTAAACAAATAAGTTAACAAATAAATATAGGAAATTATTTAATTAATTTCATTTCATTACAATTTGAAAATTCTCACGAATGCGCTTTTTCTTTGCTGAAGGGAATATCGCAAAGAATTTATGCGAACTTCTAAAAACATAAAGCTTTGCTAAAACTTGTAAAAATTTACAGACTTTTCAGACAATTTTTTAACCACTTAATCTATCATTTGTTACCGATTATTTTCAAATATTATTTTTTTTTTAGAAATCTAACAAATTGTAAGAAGTAGAGCATACTTTTAGGGTTAGTCTATGCTTACGAAACTGGGAAGCCGACAATAATAGCTCGACTCTTTTATTTATTGTAAAATCTAATGCTAGTTGTAAAGCTAACTTGTTTTACTTATTTTCTAGTTATCAGACTTAGCAGGTAGCGATCGAAAAGGATTACCTGCCAAGCGCAAAAGGGATATTATTTTCTTATATGCAAGGGATAAGATTGCGAAGTTAGTCTTAAAGTTTTTGTTAAAGATGCTTAAAGGCATCTTTGCCAAAGAGGTTGCAGTGGAGAAAATAAAATATGCCCGCTTGGATTTGTGTTTTGTAAAAATTGGCGATTTGCCAAAAACATACTTGGCAGCCGTCCTGATTGTCGCCAAAATACCACTTCGTTATTCGATTTAATATTAATCTCAATATCTATAATCTTGGGCTTAAAGGTTTTTGCAACACAACATTTCTAACCTTAGGCACTGGCTCTATGTATAAAAAATTATCATATTCCAGCCATTTCTCCTTAGCGTGATATGCTACTTGGCTTTCAATAGCCGTTGCTTTTTCCCTCCATTTCCCAATGGCGCTTGGCAAGCTCCTTATCCCTTTTATTTATGATTCCTGCACGTGCATGCGGTTCCTTCAGTTGCATTCCGACGACTTTCATTCACTGTCCCCCCTCAAATATATATGTAAGAGTATAGCTTTATGTATACAGTAGTGTGACGCACGATGAACTCAAATAAATCAAAGTAAAATATTTATTTCGTATTGGAAATGAAGTTGGACGTCGCAACGTGATTTAACGCTAATCGAAAATGCATTTGTTACAACTTTCGCTGGCAATTTTTCTACTTATAGCAAACAAATTTTCAATTTCTCAATTTACCAATTTCAATGCGTTTTCTGTTTGTGTTTTGTGAAAAACTTTGCCACAAAATGCGTGTCAGTTGCAAGTAAAGTTGCAAAGTTTTTCACCAACTTTTCGATTTCTATGCATTTCTGAAATATCACAATTTCTACGTATTTCACCTTAAGCGCATTAAAGAGCGGGGAGGGGGAGAATGAAGGGGGCGTTTAAAGTTTACTTTACAAGTTTTGAGCTCGTTATATAGGTTATATAGGTATTTAGTTCTTGCTTTCTTCGATTAAAGGTAATTTTTTGCACAATTACAAAGTATTTGGTAAATCAATCGATTGCACTAAAGAATGTACTTTAACGCTGGTCCGTTATACTTCGTCAAAACGACGCGCGATTGAAAACAGGTTTTTCTTATTTTTTTGTTCTAATTTTTGAAGTCCAAGTAATTAAAAATATATATTAATATGATTAAATAAAGAAAATAATAAAATCCATTTTGGTTTCGTTTTGTGTAATACTAAACAACATCAACATAATCAACATTTTTTAGTAATGTAAGTGAACTTCGATACATCGGTGTATCGATTATCAATCAAGCGATTGTTTTAGATTTCAAAAAGGTGATTCTTTATTTGTGATGTGATTCGATTTGTTTTTGTCAAACTCTTTACATCAGTCTATCGAACATCGAAATGCTGTCCACAATATCAAAAAAGTTAAAAATAAAAATCGAAAATAATATAAGTAAGCCATAATATGCTCAACGATACGTGAAATTATAATATTTATATGGGATTTAGAAGTTTTTTTGGATTGTATTTAAATTGTATTTTATGCAAAGATTTTTGGGTAACTTTTTAATTCACAAAAGCACTTGTTTTTGTTTGAAGTTTTTGTTCCTAGTCTCAATGAGCTTATTATTTTATATAAATTATTTAAAAAGCCAACACATTGTCGTTATCATTCAATAAAGAATTATTTGTCACAGTTAGAAAGTCATAATATTAAATATACGTTAGCTAAGTTCTTGATTCGTTGATATAAAATATATAAAAAAAGTAAAACTTTTTCAAATTAGGACCTTTTTTCAGAACTAGACTGCTATTTGATTGCATTATATTTAAAAGTTCCTGGTTTTAAGTAACATTCTTACTCTTAGTCGGTATTCAAAAAATATTTTCAAGAATTTCAAGTGTTTGCTTATTTTTAATTAACAACTATTTATAGAAATAAGCAACCAATTTGAGTGAAAATGTATTAAAAAGATGCCTGATTGTAAACCAAATAATTTTTCCTTT